ATATATATATATATATATATAGATATAGATATAGATATATATATATATATATATATAGCTAAATAGAAATATAAAAAAGAATAAAAATAACAAAAGCACATAACAAAATTACTAAAACCTAAAGTATAATTAAAATGAATATAAAAAATATAAAAATAAAAGCTCATTCAAATAACACTAATGAATGCACTTGTGTAGTAGGGTGTGTTTTGAGTCATGCCAGGACATTTGATGGCTTGTGGGAAACTCAAACCCATTTCATACCCACACTGCACTGGTCAGGCTGATGATATTGAACATCACACAAAAGTCCTGCCAACTGGCTGCCTTCAAAACCCTGGAGGAGCTGCTGCAACCTCACAGGAACTCATATTACTGTCATCCTGCATCAATGAACCCACAAGGAGACGACTCCCTTTATTTACATTCTGATGAAGTGCATGAGCAGTAATGGTGGAAAGCATCCTGTAATGTTCCTTTTAATAGCAGGTGCATTAGGAGATCTTCAGCAGCAGCTCTGGCAGATATTTGGGTGGACTGTCAGTTCATTAGTGGTCGGGAAAGCGGGTAAGAGGTACCCTGTGGCTCCAGGCCAGAGCTGCTATGACTTCCACTGTCTCTACCTGACAATTATCTCTCTGCATTTTGGGATCAAGTCATATTAGGGCCCTAAGAGGTTTGTTAAACACCCTTCACGTTAATGAGACAGACCTGAAGCCTCCCCTCCACAGCTCTTAAAATACTCACAAACTTCCCACTTGTACTTTATATTTATAAACTCCACATGCACCCACTGGAGTGTTAAAAAACTCTGGTTTGAAAACCTGAAGGGGTCGGATGCAGATTTCAGATTTGATTTCAAACTCAATATAAGCTTTAAAGAAGTTCTACACCCATTTTTCTTCAACCCCCCACAGCATGTCAATTAAAGAACCATAGCGCAAGACATTGCTAGTAGTCATAATTAAGCTATAAATGTGAATTTTGACTATCCGATTGAAGTTTGTTGATGAAAAACAGTAATAAAGTTCGCCAGAAAACTCTAACATTTTATCGGTTTATGAAGAGGCAGGTTGGTGTGACTGAAGTACATTTCCCATCATTCTGGGAACAGTAAAACATGATAAAATACTCACATAAAACTCACTATTTAGAATCAGTGCTTAAAAAGACATATATATGTGTGACCCATGCTGACAAAATAAGTGTGAATAAGTTTTTCTCTGCTCATTTCTGGACGACTGCTTGTTGTAGGATATATCGTTGCAAAGTGCAGCATTCCAGCTTTATAAATATTCATAGTGAATTCTGTATGACATGAGTCTGAACCAGTAAAATATGATTTTCAAACCCATGCTGATGAAAACAAAACGATCGCGCTGATATTTGTAAAGCGCGTGCATCTCCGAGAGCGCGCGATCTCCCTATAAAGTATATTATTGCGAAATATGTCCTGGCGAGATTCACACAAACATAATCTGTTATGTCTTACATGAACGTCTAGTTAATGGTTGGGGGAAAATCTGATGTGTAACATTATATTATATCTATGCATTACAGTAGGTCACAATCTCGATGTTAATCAAACATTAAAAGAAAAGACGGAATCATTCGCTATTCTTGATTAAACTACAGTTTATTTGCATCTTTGTATCTTATTTTTAATAACAAAGATAAAATAAAAACAGCTATATTGTGATTAATAATATAGTTATTATTATTAAGAAAAATAATTGGAGGAAAATATGCAAGTTTGCTCTGTGATTTTGTTTTGGAACCTTCAAACTTTTTGACTTTGCTGACTCTATCGCCTTCAAATGGCTGTAGCTCAGTCATTTTTTTGTCCGATTCCAACAAGTTATATATCATTTTGATATATTTTTAATGTAGAATGTGAAAATGAAGAGAACTCATTTTTGAAAATGTGCTCATTTCGACTCATTTCAGTGCATCCATTTTCCCCCAGACCAATATCACTTCAAATCACAATATCATTTCCAAACACTCATCACAGTGCAACTTTAACTCAATAACCCCTTATTAACCATATTTTACGTCATGACTAGATCTTCTAGATTTTATTCATAAAAATTTTTTGCATCAACATTTGTTTAATTTTAACAATTTTAATTATAGTGCCTCTCCTATCTTCAACCATTGCTTAATACCCCTTAGTACCTACACTACCTATTAGATCCGGCAACAATCACTTTAACAACATAAATAAATAAAATCATGAATAAGACAATGAAAACAAAGTAAACAAGCAAAGAGGGTATAATTCAGGAGCTCAGGAGTGAGATTTAGGAGGTGCTAAATGAGTCACAGTGAGATGCAAATCAAACCTCAGAAAACAAGAGATGCAGATGATGAGTTAGGAGAATATGAGTCTCTTTACCTTTGCCTCCTGTGCCCTGGCCTCCAGGTTTATTGTACAGATAGATGTCATGATCGGGCAGCTCACTGCTCAAATGGAAGTAATGCTAAGAGAGAACAAGAGCGAGAAACAAAGAACATGGATTTATGGAGGATGATCATTTAAAAAAAGTATGCATTTATTTATTTTATATCTTCATAATGACACCGATTTCAAGAAGGAATGCACAATATAAAGATTTTTCATAGTTTCTGGTCTGGTTAGGATGACACTGGAAAAAATGTGTTAAATGTTGACCCTTTTTTTACAATTCAAACAGTAAACTCTTTATCTGTGCCAGGTTCTAAACGACTAAATGTAGACAAGCTGGGATTGTAATCATTATTGTGCATTTTAAATTCTAATCACACATTGGCTTCCAAAAAAATGGCATTTAAGTGACTACAGAGATGCAATGAAGTGTGTGTTTATGTCTTTCCTCCTGGTGCAGTAGTGTATTATGGACGCTCTCTAAATGAACTCTCAGTGACCTGTTAAAGCGAACCGCACTCAGAGAGCATGAAAGTATAAACGCATTTGCAGAGCCCCGCTGCGGTCACGCTTTATCTGTGGTGCTTCACTTCACACTCACATGGAAGTATAAATGGCTTACTGCAAACCAATTTGTTTCAATTTCTGAATTTTTGCGTAATCGCCAACATTTTTGGGCAGTGGATTTGATTAGACCGTTTTAAAATGATTGGTGACAGTGATTAATTTAAGACAAAAATATATTTCTTTTGACAAATACAAAATTATGATACACACACAAACACACACACATATATATACACATATATATATATATATAAATTAATCTGTCAAACGATTAATCAATTGCGATTAATTGCATCCAAAACAAAAGCTTTTGTTTATATAATGTGTGTACTGTGTATATTTATTATGTATATATAAATACACACATATGCATGTATATATAAGAATTTTTTTTGTTTATATATAAACAAATATATATAACCATATATACATTTATACATATATAAATGTTAATTTATATATTGTGCATATGTGTGTGTGTGTATATATATGTATATATATATATATATATAAATACCTTGCTACGTGCACTGCGTTAGGCTAACCGAGACTTGTCATTTGCACTTACATATTGTTGCTCTTTTGTTAGTTTTGATTGCTTTTATTGTCCTATTTGTAAGTCGCTTTGGATAAAAGTGTCTGCTAAATGACTAAATGTAAATGTAAATATAAAATATTAATATGTACATATAAGATAAAATGTTAGAATTTAAATATATATATACACACAGATGTAAATATTTTAAAAATATATACATGTACGTTTGTGTATTTATACACACATAATAAATATACACAGTACACACATACGTACATTATGTAAACAAAACCTTTTTATTTTGGATGCACTTAATCTTGACAGCACTAAAATATGTATATACTGTATATATACATATATAGTGTATGAACTGTATTTTCGTTTAAAAATGCTAAACATTTATGGATCAATAATTTTTGAAATTTGCATAGATTTATATTATGAATCTACAACATTGCTTTTCTGATTTAAACATGTGACTATCTCCATGAACCAAATGCACTGGGAATGTCTGTCTCAGTGGATCAGATGCCAGTACCTTAAAGTGGTGCTCCATGTTGCTGTCAGTGTATTTGGGGATGTGGAGGAAGATGAGGAGGTTCTGACGGAGGTAGTGAGCCACCGCCTGGATCCACGGCACACAGTACTGCGGCAGACAGAACTCCATCACCTCCGTCGCCGGAGAACCGGGAGGCTGAATGAACTGAGACGAAGAGGAAAAAATTATGTGTAATAACCAAAAATCATCTCCACAGTCTATTATCCAACCATTAATCTCAAACAACACACCCGCCAACCGCCCACAAACTGAGAAAAACAGTGACCGCACATTAAGCGGCTTTGGTTCTGGAAGTATTTCAGCAATATTTCAAAAAATCTTCAATAAAGACTTCTAACCAACTCGCTCTGAGATGAATCACAGCATCACAAGCTTTGATTCAAAGCAAAAAGCATTTAAAAGTCAGACATCACACAACTTCAGAAGATTTGAAATACAGCACATGAGTTGTATTTTATGATACTTTATTGTCATTTTCCCCCCACAAATGTCTGTCTCTGCATAGGGCGGGCAAATATAAGTCATCTGCTTAATCTGTACGTAACCTGTGGCGAAGAACAAGTCTGTCATAGACAAAAGATGGTCAAAGAAGAAAAAGAGAGAGTAAACACCTCCACATCTGCAGGCGTCAGTTTGCAGTTCCTGACCAGCATGACTGTGATAATGTCCAGCGTGGCCTCGTCCAGACGCTTCCTCAAAACCTTCACCAGTTCATCAGAGATCTCTGGACCTGCCCAATACACAACATCATATCTCACTTGGAAACGTGTCACAAAATGGAAGTACAATAGTTCACAGATTGGAAGCAGTTTCATATTGACTTTAGATTAATAACTGAAGTCTCCCGAGCAGGTGCTGAAATCCCTCAGAGCTGCTCACTAAACCCAGAAACGACCCGACAAATTATAAATATGCATTTAAAAACAAACTGATGAAACTGAAAAAGATTTCCCTGGCTACACTTTGGGACTGAAGCAATACATTTACAGGAAAATAAATAACTCATGGCCCTGATGAATGCAGAGCGACAGCGCCTCCTGTCAGCTGCTGATGGTACTGCAGGTGAAGCTGGAGAGTCCTGACAGTTTGATTCAGATAAAAATCAATGCAAAAATCAATAAAAAAAAAAACATTTAATTAAATATTTGCTATATATATATATAATAAATGTATAGTATTTGTGTATCTAAAAATTTAGATTAAATATTACAATATTTAAATTAAATTGACTTTAAAAATTATATACAAATTAAATATATATAAATTGATATAAAATTGTGAAAATAAAAATAAATAAAAATAGATACAAAAAAAATAGATACAAATTATATAATAAATAAATACAAAAAATAAAACACGTTTTAGTCACTACATAATTCTCATAAATTCCATGCATTTCATAATTTTCTATTCTTTTTCTTCTAAAATTCATATTCTTCATTCTGATTAAGGGCTGCTACAGCAGCATCCGGCTCCATTTTGCTCTGTCCTCTAATTTTCCTATTATTCTAAAAAGTGCAAAATAGTCGATATGGGTTGATTTAATCAACATTTGCTGCCCAAAATTAAAACAAAAGGCAGAATTTTCATCCGTTTACACGACTCAAAGCAATAAGCCCCAAGAAGTCCGTTCTGCATCGTGCCTAACAACGCTCCTTAGCTGTTATAAATTCACTGTAAACCACGGCTTCACGGGGCTTATGGTTATTCCATATACGTAGCAAGGTTTTACAAAACAAAATAGAGCAAATAAAGTGTAATGATATTAATAAAAACAGTATTCTTCCACCAAACAATGTAGCTCCTCAGAAACAGTTGTGGTTGCAACAAAGTGGCTGTCGAGCAACACACAAACGTAAACAAAGGTGTGTGTTTGTAGTGTAATTTACTACAGCTTCGAACGTGGCTCAGCCAATCAGAATCAAGGACCGGAACTCTCCGTTTTATAATCTTGCTTCCATTCTCTGCTATTTTTTAAATGTTGGTCTATTTAAAAATACGTTGGCCGTTGTTCTGCGACTTGCTGCTTTTTCAACAAATCACACCATAAGTGATGCATATTCAAGAACCTGTACAGTTTAAATCCTTTTAACTTAAAAACGCTCTATTACACTGAGTTGCTTTCCGCCCAGCTGTTTACAAACGCAAGAATTGGTCTGAACTTAATGGTTCATTGGTTTTGCTTTCAGTAAGCGTGGCTGGTGTAGTGTTGTAACATCCCTCACAGAAACCAACACACTTCATTCATCTTTTGTTTTGTCACTGTACTGTGAGAAACATTTATCCATCCCTCTCTCTCACCTGCGGTCCCTACGCCATGCACCTGCAGCAAAATGTGTTTGTCCACCAGTCCAACCAGCCTTGAGCCTTCCAGAGAAGAGCGTGATGCCTGTGAACATGATACATGTCATCACACACTTACATACAACACAACACACATCACATCAGGGCTCAAGGGAGCACGTTCTACGCCTGCTTTTCAGGCTATAAACACATAATTGCTCACATCTCCCATTTCTATAGCTCAGGATGAGGCTCATAAATGGCGTAAACACAAGGACAGTTCAGCGCTTTGCGAGCGGCAGGTAAATCACTCACTCTGGAAGGCGATCTGAGCCCTAATGGCTGCTGAGGGCTCTGGTTTCCTAAAGCGTAATGGGAAGTGACAGTATGTGAATATTACCGTGAGGTCCTCAGAGCCCAGCGGCTCCTGGCTGCGGGCCAGACCGACAGAGCGCGACACGTGCACGTTTCCATCCAAATCACTGTACTTCCCTGCCTGAGACGTCTCGGAGAGCCTGTGGAGACGGACAGATGGGACGAGGAGGTCAAGAACATGAAAATAATTCAAATGCATTCTAGCCATCACTTACAGCACTAGGAGATTATGGCGAGAATGCCACAGATGGAGAAATTAAAGAGATTATAGTGGCAGACAGATATATCAACACATGTTCTGCTTTCAATTATTTCTGAATGACCAACAAGTAAATACTGTGCAATCATTTTTTGGGGCACGCTAATAATAAGTATTTGTGAATGTGTATACTTATCAATTATAACGTGCCTGTGTATAGGCATTATATCAGTCACTAACAGTTCCTTTAGTTCCTTTGAAATAGCAGCTTCATAACCTGAGCTAAAAGTATCTAATTAAATGCAGGATGATTAAGGGAACAAGATCTTTTTAAATGAGATGATGACAGAATTTATTTGGCAATCAGAGCTGGATTTATCTGCCATAAAACAATGAGGATCGGGTGATAAAACAACGAATTAGGTAATAAATCTACAAATAAACATAGATGCACTACCCAATAAAGATAAATTAATACTTTTATTTAGCATTAAGCTGATCAGAAATGACAGTAAAGACATTTACAAATGTTACAAAAGATTTTTATTTCAAATAAATTCTATGAATATACATTTATATATATATATATATATAGATATATATATAGATATATAGATAGATAGATAGATAGATAGATTGTTCAACATATATATTTTATATATAAACAATTCTCATACTATTGTTATTTCATAGTTTTAATCATTTTAAAATATTTTTTAATAATTAATCATTATTCTACAATGTTCAAAATAGTAAAAATAATAAAGAATGAGTAGGTATGAGTCAATTTAATCAATATTTGATCCTCAAAAATAAGATAAATGCACAATTGTCAGCCATTTGCACACTTTTTCTTGCTTTCCTTCTTTGCTATGTTTTAAAAGTTGGTCTATTTAAAATATGTTAGATGGATGTCTTTGGTCGTTGTGCTGCGTTTTGTTACTTTTTCAACATATTTAGGAATCTTTTTAAACTTTACACAATTTAAACTTTTTCAACAATCCTGAAATACGAATTGTATCACATTTCTACAAAAATATGAAGCTGAAAAATACTGATAATAATCAGAAATGTTTCTCGAGCAGCAAATTAGCATATTATTATGATTTCTGAAGGATCATGTGACACTGAAGACTGCAGAAATGATGCTGAAAATACAGCTTTGATCACCGCAATAAATTACAGTTTAACAGATATTCACATAGATATTCACTATTTGAAATTGTAATAATATTTCACATTTTTAAAAAATTTTTTGTATTTTTGATCAAATAAATGCAGCCTTGGAGAGCAGAAGAGACTTCTTTCAAAAATGTTACCAACCCCAAACGTTTGAACGGAAGTGTAAATTGATACTTTAACATTCACATTTATATTACTGCATTTGGAAATGTTTTTAACCAAAGCGGTTTACTTTCTACTCAAGCTAAACACGTCATCAGTTCATGCACTCCCTGGGAATCGAACCCACGACCTTAGTGTTGGATCAACAAACTCTCTTCAGATACCAGCATCATTCACTGAAAAGCTCATATTGGTCAATATCTAATATGAAAAAATGCAGAGGTTCTGACTCACCGGAGGTAGAACACAGATTTGGTGGTGCGCTCCTGATAAACAAACATGTTTTTGCGGTTTACCACACAGAAAGCGTTTAGAACGGAGCGCAGAGCCTGGATAGCTGAAAGAATCAGAGAAAACAAATCATCTTTGGACACAAGCTTCCCAGTTTTTTAAGGTAAAATCATGTTTTCATTAGGAGCCACCTGATTGGTCCGCTGTGGTGTCACTCACCCCGGGACACGCCCATGTTGGGCCCCATTTTGAGGCGTGGGTGAATATAAATGACGGTGCTCCAGACCACGTCACAGGCGAAGTAACCTGGGATGAACTGCATGGTAGCGGCAAGGTAGTCCCGCGGCTGATAGCTCTCATCTGCATTGTAGTCTGAGGCGGGAAAAATGTGCAATGATGGGGATGAGACTTTCATCTTAACAATTTCATAACAAAAGGGTGATTAGCAGGGTTAGCTGAACTCCACAGACCCGCAGAGCACCTCAAGTACGATACAAATTAAGCATTTGAGCGTTGATCTCTGTGGTCGACTGGATCCAATTCATTTGCACAGTCTGAGGCAGAGCGATAGGCCATATGAGGACATTAGTGCGGTAATTCACGCTAAACAGCGGATATAAAATTGTAGTCAATAAGGCGAGTGCTCAGACTCATACTGCTGTCTCATTATCACCACCCTTGAATTGACCTTCCCGATGGGCTTCTGTGTGAAAGTCTGCGTTTGTTTGCATTAGTGTAAATTGTTCTGCATTTTACAGCAGCAGCAGGCGTTATTAAATCTGTACTGCATACCAAGAGTGCAACAATATCAGCAGTTTTCATTTACACAAAGCCATACGCGTGGTGTGGGGCTACACAATTCATTAAAATAAAACTGAAATCAAGATATGGCTTTGTGCCATTATCACAAATGCTGCAATTTAATTAAATACACTGCAGAAATTACTTTCTTACTTAGTATTTTCGTCTTGTTTTCCAGTACAAATATCTAAACATTCTTAAATCAAAATACAATTAGTTAACATAAGATATTAAGTCTTATTTTCTGCATTGAAATTAAGCAAGTTTATGCTTAAAACAAGAAAAAAAAATTGTTTTATCCAATTGGCAGATATTTTTCTTGTTTTGAGCATAAACTCACTTAATTTTGATACATTTTTCAGAATGCAAAACTTAATATCTTGTTATTTTTCTTGTGTCTTGAATTATGAATGTTCAGATATTTGTAGGGTAGGAATTTTTTTTTTTCGCAGTGCAAAAATATGCGCTGCAAGAGTTTGGGTCTTGGGTCAACGAGTTTTGAGATATGTAATGAGAAACGCTTATAACCGACTAAAAAAATTAAAAACATTAAACCATTAAGCTTTTAAGGCAATAAATAAATAAATATTGTAATCTTACAGTTGTACTGTCAAATACATTATTTTACTAAAACTTTTCTTAAATATTAGATTTTTTTTATTTTGCAGTAAAATATTGCAATGGCAATATTTATTATTCAGTTTAATATTTTTTATAATAATAATTATTATAATAATAAAGTATTTATGGTAATACTGACACATAATCACAATTGTTTTTGGCCAATCTGCTTTTTTTAAATTGCATTGTGGATCACAATTTTATTAGATAATAATAAAATAATAATAATAACGCAATTAAATAATTTTCCCATGGATCTGAAGCAGTAAGAGTAAAAGAGATTAATATTTCATGCATTTACTTGCATTGCATTTCATTGATTTATTTGCTCATTAGAAATAGTGAGTAGCTCACATGCCAAACTATTTGTTGCACTAAACCTTCGGCATTTTATTTAGTTATGAGCAGTATCTCTCTTAATTTCATCACATATTTGTAGTCTTTTGGCATAAAAGACTCTAAATGTGTGATGAAATTAAAAGAAAACGGAAAAGCAGAGCAGTCTGAGCTGGAAAATTTGGGTCCCATACAAAAGATTTTTATAGATGAAGAAATCTGGGAAAATTATGACAATTTTCTGACTAATGTAGCTATTTTTTAAAACAAAAACATTCCAAATCGGCACTTCCTGTCAAAGAGGTTGCGAGCCCGGCTCTGGCGTGTAGAAAGAGTGTGTGTCAGTCATTCGGCTGTGGCATTAAGTACTGCACCGTCAGAGTTGGTCATCCTGGGCCGGTAGAGCGACTCGTGCTTCCAGATGTCCTCTTCGCTCTCAGCCACCAGGAGAGAGTGACACACGCGACTATCATGCAGGTCCTGCAGCAGGAGGCGCTGTGGAGAAAATCACGGGAGGTTAAAGAGTAACAAAGTGGAAAACAGTGCTAGAGGATCAGAGGTGACGACTGAGATAGTGTGTGTTTCTGGCCAGAATGAGCTGGACCAGACTTTACACTGATAGTGAAAGGCTGTTCTTTACCTGGTTGACTGTTCGGCACATTTCTCCAATCCTCCTCACCACCAGCTGATGAAGACGCAGGTACTCTGGGATCTCCTCCTCTTCCTCCTCTTTCCCTCTGTTAAAACTCCTGACAACACAATGCTCAAGATTCACAACAGTACTAAGTGTTTTTACATTCTCAGCTGGAAAATGCAAAACTCGGTTTTGTTTGCATGTCTGGGGAAAAGCGTTTACAATTTAAGCACTACAAACAGACATGCTGCTCATTTGTATGCTTCATATATTTAGAGCACAACTGAACACAAACTCATTGATAGGCATAAGACTTGGACAACAAAACAGCTTTGAAGTCAACAATAAACGCTGGAAAATAGAAGGAGATTCTTTATTTGTCTTCCTGCCAAAATTTTTGTAATGGGAAAATAATATGATATATATATATATATATATATATATATATATTTTTTTTTTTTTAAGAAATAATGTTATATTATATAATAATATTATATGCAGTTAAAAAGTAATTAATAATTGAATAATCATCAAATAGCATTAAATAATTAATATATTATATGTGTATGTGTGTGTATTTAAAATGATTATTTCTAAAATAAAATTTAATAATAATAATAATAATTTAGAAAAATAAATTAAAATTATTTCAAATAATCAATACATTTTATAATTTTATAAAATTATTTTTTTAAAGAAAAATAATAGCACACTCCTTACCAAACAACAAACATTCATGTCAACAAACCATGAGACTGTACTGATGTTTAATACGTTGAAAACACCAAATACGAGTAATAATAATAATAATAGTGCGGCTTGTCTAGCAAATGACTTAAATAAGACAGAGTGTCATACGATCATTTCAAACCAGCCTTCTACCAGCCGGTTAACTTGCTGATTTTTGCTTGCATTTGGTGCTTTCTGAATGTGAACTTCGTGTCTCTGCAGCAGTACCTGGCGTGAGAGAAAACCTCCACTCTGTCCTGATGAATTCTGACGATGAGCCAGAAATCAGGCATGAGCGGCGTCTGTCTCTCCTGCTCATTCATAGTGGGTCCGTCACACTCAGAATCACTGCTGCCTCCATCATAACCTGAAACACACACAGCAGAGAGGACAAGGACCATGAGGAATGATGATTGTGATGTAAATGTGAGTTTGAACATGCTGTGTGTTGAGTAAAGTCTCACCCATCATGTCTGAGTCCAGGCTGCCTTGACTGGAGACGACGCTCTGAACTCGACTGGGCCGCAGTTTCCCACTGCCTAAAAGCAACAGGAATCAAAGCCGCTTAGAATAAATAGAATACATATATATTTATTATTAGAGTCTAACTATGGATAAACAAACAAACAAACAAAATCATTGCGCCGGAAAACATCCAAAAGGATGACAATAATCCAAACAAAAAAGCAACAAAAAAAAATATAAATCACATGATCCAAAAACTTTTTTTTTAATTTATCATGTGACATATGCAACCATGTTATCGAATAGTTCATCTAAAAATCCAAATTTGCTGAAAATGTCCTCATCCTAAATCCCTCCAGGATGTAGATAAATTAGTTTCTTCATCAGATTTGGAGAAATGTAGCATTGCATCACTTGCTCACCAATGCAGTGAATGGGTGCCATCAGAATGAGAGTCCAAACAGCTGATAAAAACATCACAGTAATCCACAAGTAATCCACAGTACTCCAGTCAACATCTTTTTAAGCGAAAAGCTGCATGTTTGTAAGAAACAATTCCATCAGTAAGACATTTTTAACTTCAAACCATCATTTCCAGCCAAAATACGAGTCCATAATCCACAATAATGCTTCCCGCCCTGTTCTCTCTCACATCAAAATCCACCCACATATTTGTTTAGAGCTGTTTTGGCTTATAAACAGTGCTTGATCTGTGCAGATTTCTCTCCTGATTCAGACCAGATGAGTTTTTCACTGGAGGAAGCTTTATTATGGATTATGGGCTATTTTGTGGATTACTGGATTATTTTGACTGGAAATGATGGTTTGAAGTTAAAAACGTTTAACTGATGGATTGGAGTGGTGTGGATTACTGTGATGTTTTTATCAGCTGTTTGGACTCTCATTCTGACGGCACCCATTCACTGCATTGGTGAGCAAGTGATGCAATGCTACATTTCTCCAAATCTGATGAAAAAACAAACTCATCTACATCTTGGATGGACTAAATTATAAATTATCAGCAAATTTTAATTTTTGGCTGAAATATTTCTTTAAGATGACTCTTAAATCTTGCACCTTATTGTTGTCTTTTTTTCATCCTCATAGTGTGCAGGCCTTTTTTGCAATGTTCAGTCTAACTACACCAGCAGGCTCTCAGTAAACTCAGATGACGCTGGTTTCTCGTGACACTCACTGTGTGTGGTGGACTGCACGGACTCGGCCAGGCTGGCAGCGGAGGGGGTTTTTGGAGGGGACGTGTGATCAGACGAGTGCTCGGTGCTGCTGCTGCCTGCCTGCAGGTGAGCAGCGCTGCTGATGGCACTCTGAGGTCGAGTCTCTTCCGCGTCGGCCTGTTTGATCGGCCCGGGGTCAGAGGTCTCAGAGTGAGACTTGCTGACTGAATCAGCTGCTGCAGGCCGCGTGTCCTCCTCGGCCCTCTGCGTGTCTCCACACTCCACCTGCTTCAGGGAAAAAAAACACATGAATCATACACCAGATGAAGAGGAGGACAACAAAAAGGCTCTTTGGGAGATTTGATTTTGATCGGTCAATCTTGAGGTCAGATGTTTTGTATAATAAAGCTAAACCGTATAACCTTTATCTCCAGCCCCTGATTTTGTGCTCGTTTCATGTCTCTTGTATCACTTTTCACTTTTTCTTCTCACATAAAATAATTTTAACTAAAATCATACATTTATTTGAATATATATTTCATGCCCGTTTATGTATTTACTGCCATTTCCATCATAAATTAGGTCATTTAAGTTTGTGAATTTTTTTTCAAATTAATTACAAATATACCTATATATATTTGATCAGATTTATTCACTAGCTAAAATATATATATTTTTTAATCTAATCTACACATGACTATTTAAACCAATTTTTGTGTGTACTATGTATTATGCTTCATTAAAGTATTGCATCGTTAGCTTAAAATGTCAATGTATAGATCTACTGAAATCAACTGAGTCGAGTCTTTCATTCATGGATTATTTTGACTGGAAATGATGGTTTGAAGTTAAAAACGTTTAACTGATGGATTGGAGTGGTGTGGATTACTGTGATGTTTTTATCAGCTGTTTGGACTCTCATTCTGACGGCACCCATTCACTGCATTGGTGAGCAAGTGATGCAATGCTACATTTCTCCAAATCTGATGAAAAAACAAACTCATCTACATCTTGGATGGACTAAATTATAAATTATCAGCAAATTTAAATTTTTGGCTGAAATATTTCTTTAAGATGACTCTTAAATCTTGCACCTTATTGTTGTCTTTTTTTCATCCTCATAGTGTGCAGGCCTTTTTTGCAATGTTCAGTCTAACTACACCAGCAGGCTCTCAGTAAACTCAGATGACGCTGGTTTCTCGTGACACTCACTGTGTGTGGTGGACTGCACGGACTCGGCCAGGCTGGCAGCGGAGGGGGTTTTTGGAGGGGACGTGTGATCAGACGAGTGCTCGGTGCTGCTGCTGCCTGCCTGCAGGTGAGCAGCGCTGCTGATGGCACTCTGAGGTCGAGTCTCTTCCGCGTCGGCCTGTTTGATCGGCCCGGGGTCAGAGGTCTCAGAGTGAGACTTGCTGACTGAATCAGCTGCTGCAGGCCGCGTGTCCTCCTCGGCCCTCTGCGTGTCTCCACACTCCACCTGCTTCAGGGAAAAAAAACACATGAATCATACACCAGATGAAGAGGAGGACAACAAAAAGGCTCTTTGGGAGATTTGATTTTGATCGGTCAATCTTGAGGTCAGATGTTTTGTATAATAAAGCTAAACCGTATAACCTTTATCTCCAGCCCCTGATTTTGTGCTCGTTTCATGTCTCTTGTATCACTTTTCACTTTTTCTTCTCACATAAAATAATTTTAACTAAAATCATACATTTATTTGAATATATATTTCATGCCCGTTTATGTATTATAATAATAATTCATAATAATAATAATTTATGCATTTAGCAGACGCTTTTATCCAAAGCGACTTACAGTGCAATCAGGCTATACATTTTTTACAATATTGTTATATATATTATAATAAAAACAAAAAACAAAACTAAATGACTGAAACTTAAAATTGAAAATATAAAAATAAAAAAACAATTCAAAATATATATATATATATATAAAAAATAGATTATTAATGACACTAAAATAACACTGGTTAAAGACAGACAAAAACGATTTCTGAAATAAAGAAATCCTCCTTTTGCAATAATAAACAGACTAAACTTTCATGCATATTTCATATACCGCACTTTCATTACTGGATCAATGATAAATAATTGAGTAACGCTTTACAATAAGGTTCCATTTGTTAACAGTAGTTAACTACATTAGTTATCATGAATTAACAATGTCACTTTATACTTTATTACAAGCATTAATTCAATTTCAACATTTACCAATACATTGTTAAAATAAACATCTGGAAATATAATTTTATGGAATTGAGCTAACATGAACTAACAATAAATAGTTGTACTTTTATTAGCTAGTTTTAGCGAACATTAATAAATACTATAACATGTGCATTACTCAATGTTAGTTAATGTTAGCAATGCATTACTAATGGGACTTATTGTAAAGTGTTGCCAATAATTGTTTGAGAATATTGAAAATTATTATTGTTTAAAATTACAATGCCATTAAATATTATTATTATTATTAAATAAATAATAAAATCACTTTAATTTTCATTGAAATCTTTGCACTCTCACCTCATCCATGGTGGCTAAAACAGCCATTTTGTGTGGAATAGGAAGTTTGGACAGCGGATCTCCAGACATACTGCAGAAGACGACAAAACAACAAGTTCATCCTCAAGATATTTGGCAACAGATGATGTCTGCTGAGCTCCGAACGCTCACCTTTCCACACCGACCCCGCGCAGGCCGTCCAGATTAGCCATGAGCTCCTCGTCAGAGCGATAGGACGAGGGCTGTCCAGGAGAGCGGTTCAGAGACACGCTGCTCTCAGACGTGTATCTACAGTACATGCACAGAGAACCATCAGGATCACTCCAGCTGGAGCCATGCTGTTTTCTTCCTCACTCTGCGACGCTACACAAGCACTGACCTGTTGTGGTGGAAGTCAGGAGCCATGACCTCGATGTCCAGAGGTAACGTGAGCACGAAGATATCAAGCGTGACAGACAACTCGTTCAGATCCACCGACTGAAGACTCTCAGCGTCCTCAAGACAGGTAATGACTTCACCTGCAAAAAATTATAATAATAATAATAATCATTTTTAGATTCACTAACATTATTGAAAATACATGAACCAGATTAATACTAATCAGGGGGATAAAATCTGAGATAAAAAAGCAACTCAATATACATGGTGTCCATCCCTTCTAACCAATGAATTAAAGCAATAAGCCCCAAGAAGCCATGGTTTACAGTGAATTTATAACAGCTAAGGGGCGTTGTCCACGGAGTGGAGGCTACACGGGGCTTATTGCTTTTTATAAAACGGTTATTCCATATATGTAGTAAGGTTTCACAAAATAAAACCGAGCAAATAAAGTGTAATGATATTAATAAAAACAGTATTCTTCCACCAAACAATGTAGCTCCTCAGAAACAGTTGTGGTTGATGAACAACACACAAACGTAAACAAAGGTGTGTGTTGTAGAGTAATTTACTACAGCTTCGAACGCGGCTCAGCCAATCAGAATCAAGGACCGGAACTCTCCGTTTTATAATAATGATTTTTCATGAGTTGTTCTTTATTTATATTATATTATTATATTTATATTATGTATATATTATTATAGAATGTATTAATATTTTAAAGTTACATTTATTTATTTTCATAAATAACATTTTAGTAATTTTGTTATTAAGCAATTAGTGCTTATGTCATTTTTTTTACAATGTAACTGTTTAGCTTTAATTTATTTTATTTCAGTTCAGCTTTTGGTATTTTTTAGTACTTCGACTTAAACTTATTTTATTTCAGGTAGGTTTTTTTTTGTTTGTTTTTTTTTTAAAGTTCAGCATTTTCATCTAATATTTATTTCAGCTTAATTTCAATTCATTCAATATTTTTGTTAGTTTTAGATTTATTTTTAGAAAATCATTTGTTTTCTTTTTTTATTTTAACAACACTGTTGATCAGGATTTTGATGTGGCATATTTTCATATATATTTAGCCAATCCTTGAAATTAATACAATTAAATGGATTAAATACAATTCACAACCATAAGCTAATTAACATAAGTCCACCTACATTTACATATCATATAAATACTTGTTTAGCATTTAGCAAATTATTATTTAGCACTATTATGATTTTTAAAGTGAAGAAGAGAGCCAGTCATAACAAAGCTGATTTGCAAAAGTTATTATAATTTTAACGTTATTCAATTATAACTTGATTTGGATAAAAGTGTCAAAATATTGTATGCAAATATACAGTACAGTTAAAAAATGGCCATGAAAAACAAAATGATACATTTTTTGGTGAATTAATCTTGACTGACATTGATAGCGGACTTTATGGAAAAAACTAAATGCAACAAAAGTGTCGAATAAGACCCTGTTAAATGACTGTAAGCACAGAGTCTGAAGTCAGTGGCAGAACCCTCAGCGGTGTGTTCAGTGTCTCACCCAGACAGGTTGGCAGGGTTTGCGTGGGCATGGAGCCATGGCAGCTCTTCATGTTGACGGAGCAGGTGAGGTGCACGAACAGAGGCGGCATCTCCGGCTGCGGACCCTCCACCTCCAGCAGAGAGTCTCCGTCCAGAATACTGAAGGAGTCCTCGTCCTGGTTCACCGTGTTGGAGTCCGACGGAGACTCGCCTTCACCTGCTCCCTGTCCTCTGCCATTCCCACAATCCTGATACTCCACCTCCAGATCCGTGTCACTCTCCGTCACGATGCAGCAGCCCGACACGTTCTCTGCGCATATGCAAAACATAAATATGGATAACCATGTTTTAATATACTTCAAGTTTACTAACGGGTGCAAAACACTATTAAATGCACACATAAACTTTCCAAATAACATGAAATCAACGGACCCTACTAAAGTCCCTGTTAAATGTTCATTCACCAGTGCTATGGCACCGTGGCTGTGCATGCAATATTATTAACTAATAATAGAGATGTAACGATTCATGCGATTCGATTTTCCCATGATTTTTTAACAAAATGACAAATCATAAATGAAAAAGTGTTCTATTATTATTAGACAAAATGTTGCACATTTCTTTGTGAAATTGAAATATGTTGAATCACAAAACTAAATTCCCAAATCACATGAATGAATAATACAAATAAAAGACATGTCTTCATATAAACAAACTAAGGCTTTGCTTGTGCTTTTCCCATTTAAAATTAGAGGCAACCACGGCATTTTAATCACGATCTAAACAAAGGTGATGCATGAGCAGTTTTTGATTTAAATTAGATTGTATCATTTCGAAATTTGAAGCAAAAACAGAATGGTCTGACTTTAGCTTTGTGAAACTATACTACGCAAAACATCTGCAGGAAACAGAAACAGCAGAAGCTCTGAAAGAGACGCAGATTCGCTCTCTGACAGCAGGAGGCGCTCGTGGAACAGCAGCGATACAGCGTTTATTGGTTTACCGCTGTAAACAAAGCAGCGCAGCGCTTATAAACAGTACTTTAATATGCATTTTATGGAAGCAAGATGAAAAGAAAATACCATCTAAAATTTTCTGAATTCAGTCAGCTCCCCTCAGAGATACATTATTATAAATGCCCACCGACTTGAATCGTCACACATTTGTATCGATTTTTAACCGGCTAAAGGTGCATCGTTACATCCCTGACTAATAATATAATAGAAAACTTTTCACAATCCAACTGAAGCATCACTGGATTGATAAACAGATGTTTAAAACACTATTATTTTCTTTATGCATAACGCATTTAGTGAGGGAAATATTACAGTTAAGCGCTTTAAATATGTTGCAAATGGCATTAAATTTCTTCAAAACCAATTATTTACTGAATGTGAACTTTATCAAAACAGCCTGAGGTGGACACTTAGATATAGGTGATATTAAAAATGTAGCACTGGGGTATTAAATTGAACATTCAGTGTGTCATGAAGGATGTCTAACCGTCTTCTGTGGCGAGTTCAGCTTCAGACACCTCACAGTCCTCACTGGCTCTCCGCTCTCCCTCTCGGTCCAAATCCTCCTGCAGACGGTGGACGAGAGGAAAGGAAAACGCTCCCATAAACCATTCATGTTATAAAGATGAGCGCCAATCTGACAGTCAAACATTTGTCTATATAAGACTATTCCCAGTGTTTCCAATACAGTTCTGTTTTTGTATTTTATATAATGTGTGTATGTTTTTAATGTGTGTACGCACCTCTTTTTTGGAAGATGGAAGGCAGTAAAAGAAATAATGTGGATTGGACGGTACAGTCTTGAAATACTGAGCACCAATTTCCATGAACTTATCCTGTGAAACAAAAAGAATATGAGATATCGTCTGTATGACAGCTGTGTTGTAAAAATGTTGTTTCTACACCCCTGACAGCATTTGCTGTCAGCCGTACCTGTATGATTTTGTGCAAATCAGGATACACGTCACATTTCTGCTGGGACTGGAGGAGCGACAGAGGGAATTCTGGGATTTTTGGAGACTTCGGTTCGTCCAGGTCCAGCGGGGATGTGGGAGCAGAGACTTTCCCACTGGAATCCGCTTCACTCACATCCTCCAGCTCAATACTTTGAGGAAAAAAAACAAATATAAAATATATAAAAACAATGAAAACAAAGCATTAATCCCACAATGCATTGCTCTAAGGTCAGTACCTGGATGAAGACACCAGCGTGGCTCTGTCAGCTCCATCATCCTCTCCCTCTCCGATGATGAAGGTGGTGGAAGCGTCACTGGACTTGCTTACGTTGACAGAGCCATGCAGCTCGTGACGCTCACGAAACACACGCACGTGTCCGCAGAGCGTCTGCAGGAAGGAAGTGATGTCGATCTCCTGCAGCGACTCCTCGCAGTAGTCCATAGCTGTCAGTAAGTCCTGCGAGCTCACGTTGTGCGACTGCTGCAGACTGCGATAAACACCTGTCAATCAACACAGGCGCAAGACCAATGAAATAATTTGCCGTGAAAATTACATTAATAACATTGTACGTATTTTTGTATTGTGATATTATTTTTATGAACACATTTTGTGCCCCAATTCACATTAATTAAATGCATTATATATATGTGCAAGAATTATATATATATACAGTATATATATGAAACTAATGTTTTTTTTTACTGTAGATCAGCAGACACAATTTATTTTAGACTAATATTTATATTTATTTAAATACAAAAAGAATTAATTAAATACCTTTTATTTAGACAAACAGGGTGATTCTCATTAATAATCTCAGTAATGAGATGCTAATGAATCACCATTGAGAACAATGTGGATTACATAAAAACTAATGATATAATAAAATAAAATAAAAACCATTTTATTTTAAAATAATAATAAAATAAATGCAATTTATGCAAATGTCTGGACTCAACAGTAATGATTTTTTATTTTTTTTTGCATTACACTAATAAGAATCCGTGACATAAATGTGCTTAAATGCTTATACATGATTTCTTAATTTTTTGCTTGCTAGTTTATATATTTTATTTTAAAATAATAATAAAAAAAAAAAAATGTTTAAATGTCTGGACTCAATGAAGTAATGAGAATTTTATTTTACTTATTTTTTTTTTTTGCATTACACTAATGAGAATTCGGGAGATAAATGTGCTTAAATGTTTAAAAATGATTTCTTATTTTTTTGTTTATTTATTTAAAGTTTTATTTTAAAATAATAAAATTAATGCGGTAACACTTTACAATAAGTTTCCATTTGTAAACATTAGTTAAACTAACAATGATAAATACTTTACTTAAAAGTATACTTTTAATACTTAAAAGTATTTATTAATCTTAGTTAATATTGATTCCAACATTTACTAATACATTATTAAAATCAAAAGTTGTATCTATTAATGTTATTTAATAGACCTGAGCTAACATGGACTAACAATGAACAGCTGTATTCTTTTATTAACGAACATTAACAAAGATTAATAAGTACTGTAACAAATGTATTGCTCATTGTTAGTAAATGCATTAAATATAGTTAACAAGTGGAACCTTATTGTAAAGTATTACCATAAATGTAATGGAAAAAACGTACTGTAATGAGAATTATTTTTATTTACTTACTTATTTATTGCATTAGAGTAATGAGAATTCCGTAGATGAATGTGCTTAAATGCTTAAAATGAGTTCTTTATTTATTTAGTTTTTTTTTTTTGCTTATTTATATTTGTATTTATTTAAGCTCTATGCATATGTTAGAGTGTGACCTTTGACATAGCTCTGGTAGTAGTGCTCCTGCAGCAAGCTGCAGTAGTTGGCCAGTTCTTTGTGTTTGTGAGGGTGCGTCATGAGCTCAGTCCAGGAGCAGGCGCTGCTGCGCTCCTGAGAGATTGACCTGCCCAGAGACACACACACACACACACACACACACACACACACACCAGATAACAGCATGCCACAATCTGCCAGACATCTCCTACAACACTACACCAGACACCAGCCTAAAATAGCAGAGACAAGCAGCAGGAAAAGTACTCATCCATACGTCTATTACAGAGAAAAACTGGCTCTTTCAGACACTTCTTTTAACTTTTGTCTTCAGGTCAGCATTTTGCTTTTAGCCAATGCATTTAAATTCAAACAGAGTTCCATTACAGCCCTACAAAGAGATACAAGAGCTGTTTATTATTGTAGAAACACTGAGTCAGACCTCATGCGTGATGTTAAATAAATCAATATTTATAACAAATAAATAAGGCAATTTATTAGCAATTTCTGAAAAAAGACACCATTATGAAAATGCAGATAACATGCAACAACCATATCTGTCTGACGTGTACAAAAACCAAATGCGTGCTTTCTATTTTTCAGATTTGATTAATTCTGGTCTGTATTTATTGACTATATTACGTGCAAGAACAAAAGGTGATTACAGACCCTATAGAGTGCAATAAACATGTTTAATTAATTATTAAAATACCACTCCTTAATAGCTGATTGCTGACGTGTTGATTTGAAATATCAGTGGCCGATGATACCTCAGTATTCCTGAGTGTAATACGATATAATAAGCAGCACAGTGCAATAGGATTACATTTATCTACAGTCCAGTGGATCATCAAATGTAAATACCGCTGAAGAGGACGGGAAAATATCAAACCAGTTATACTGCAACAGTTTCAAACCAGCTTTAAAAGCATGCAAAACAGATTTACAGCCATGAAGCAACAACACCCGAGGTTTATACGCCAGAGGTTTACCATTTTTGTGTTCAACAAAGCGGGAAAAGCTTAGTGGAAAAAAATCAAGACGTTGAGGACACCAATATAGTATGTAGCCTAAAATTGGGATGCTCAGATGAGCAGACATTACCACCGAGACAGACGTTTATCATGCAGAAGAACATACCGGATCAACAAAGACAAATCCCACAAATAAATCAAGAATAAAGAGGACATAAGTTATATTCCAGTCATTTAGCCTTGTTTCGAATGTCTAGCGATCTCCTAAATGTCTGCATGCAGGGCACTAACCTCCTAATTTAAGTATGTACACTACCAGTCAAAAGTTTGGATACATCTACTCATGCTTTACTATGACTTTTCTCAACTCATTTTGAAATGCACAAATTGTGACACAAACAAAACCTCCTTTATATTTGACCTTCTTCTTAGTTCAAGCTCTGCGGACTCTAGACGTGCATCATAAAAACATGAGGTGCATCCTGGGATGCTTTTGAAACTGTATTGAAAAGGCATGAAGAAAATGTGGAACATGTATGAGGGATTTGTTTTGCCGCATTGCTTTTCCATTTCCCAGCGTAATCAGAAGGCCTTCAGTTAAGTACGTCCAAACTTTTGACTGGTACTGAACATCAGAAGGCAGAGGAAACAACCCTCAGCAGCATGTGAGGTCTTAAAACACATGAGATAATATAGAACAATCCAAATCAACAACAATATAAACTACAGCTCAAACCTTTGGGGCTGGTAAGATATTTGATTGTTTTTGAAAGGAGTCTCTTCTGCTCCCCAAGGCTGGCTTTATTTGATCAAAATTACAGTAAAAGCAGGAATACTGTGAAATATTATTTTAGTTTTCTATGTGAATATCTGTTAAAATGTCATTTATTCCTGTGATGCGCAGCTGTATTTTCAGCATCATTACTCCAGTCTTCAGTGTCACATGATCTTCAGAAATCATTCTAATATGCTGATTTGCTGCTCAAGAAACATTTCTGATTATTATCAATGTTGAAAACAGTTGTGCTGCTTGATTTTTTCAGGATTCTTGGATGAATAGAAAGTAAAAGAACAGCATTTATTTGAAATAAAAAATCTTTTGTAACGTTATAAGTGCATTTACTGTCACTTTTGATCAATTTAATGCATCCTTGCTGAATATAAGTATGCATTTCTTTAAAAAAAAATAATAATAATTACTGACACCCAAACTTTGAACGGCATATACAGAGATAAACGTTTGCTTTAATTCTGTTATTTTAAGACCTCAGACCCTTTTAAGTGTTCAGTAGCCTAATATCCCCTCATTACGGTCACCTTCGTAGAACAGCAAAACCCTCCAGAGAAAGAGAAAGAAAGAAGGGCCATCCTTAGGGTAACGGGGCCAAAGCAGCCCCCTCACACCCCTTCCCTCCCGCCCCGTCCCGCTGTAGGGCGGCAGCAGGAAGCAGTAAGCAGGGCTACCTGTATTTGGGCTGCTGACTGAACTCCCAGGAGTCTGTCTCTTGAGCTCTATTCTCATCCAAAGAGAAACCAGACAGTACAACATTAGGATGAGCACATGATGCCCTCTGAAATGATCAAACACAACAGCTCTGCTCCAAAATACAGTGAACCGCCTACCGAGGCAACTTTATTAGACATCATAACTAAGTATGTTATCGATGCTTTTATTCAGACCGTTTATTGGTCATGAAGAGCTTTTCAATTCAGTCACTTAACAGGGTTAATGGAGTTAAAGTTAGAGTTAGAGTTAGAATTAAAGTTAGAGAGTTCAAAACCATAAAAAAAACTTTTTCGTTACTTAAACTTTAACTGAAATAAAATAAAATATACAAAAGTAAACATATTTTATTCTAGTTATTATATATCAACATTTCTCATTTTCATTTAATTCAACTTGAAGCACCAAAATAACTAAACTAAAGTAAAACTAACTAATTAATAAAAAACTCTATAGGCATTTTTAAATAAAAATGACAAAAACACAAAATTACAAAAACTTTAACTAAAATTCAAGTGGAAACAGCAATATAAATAATACTAAAATTATAAAATAGAAAAATTGTAAAAATAATATAAAAATAAAATTAAAAATATTAATTAAAATAAAGTAAAACTAATAAATACAAATTAATAAAAACTATAAAGACATATTTAAAAAAAAAAAAAGAAAAGAAAGAAAGAAAACTCAAAGAAAATGAATAAAAATTGCAAAAACACAAAATAACTAAAACTTACTTAACTAAAATTAAAGTGGAAAACAGAATATAAATTATATCAATTATAAAATATAAAATTCTAAATAATATAAAAATAGAATTAAAAATAATAATTTTCAGTTCTCATTTTCGTTTAGTTTAACTAAAGTAAAACTAAGAGAAAAAACATTTAATAAAAACTATATAGACACATTAAAAGAAAAGAAAAACTAAACTAAATAACTATATCGAAAAAATCTATATAGATATATATATATTTTTAAAAAATAGAAAGAAGAAGTATAAAAATCGCAAAAACACTAAATTACTAAAACTTTAACTAAAATTAAAGTGGAAAAAATATATAAATTTAAAATAGAAAAATAAATAAATAAATACAATTCTAAATATAAAGTATAATAGTATATCAACGATACTAAAATAAGAGTGTGACTTATAAGGTCCTACTTCAGTTAGACACTGCTTCAGCAGGTCGCAGTCTAGGTATGCAGTAGGCCGCTCTCTATGGTTTAGAACAGAGCTGGTGTCCTGAGACCTTCAAGCGACACACAGTAGCTTTCCTCTGTATGAGGCAGCGTGTCTCAGTACCTGAAGAAGACGTCTCTGGGCTGGCGTCCTGAGCGCGGGTGGACCAGCTGCTCTTTGAGGGACTCCAGGGAGCAGTTGTAGATGTAGATGGGGCAGCGGGGTCGTGCTGCGTCGCCGCCGCTCTGCTGAGACACCTGTCTGCTGAACGTGATGTGACAGTCTCGCTTCTGAGGCTCCACAAACTGAACGCCGTCCTTCTCCTCTGAAGCTGAAAGTTATGAGACAAGAGGTATGAATATAAAAATCTCTCCCATCTCATTCATTTTTTTTTGCCCTAACCAGCTGGATCATGTGACGCAGCTATGTTTTGTAGCTTTGATATATTATTAATATTTTGAATATTTTTTATTTTTATATTTTCTGTTTTCATTTTAGTGAGTTTAGTCATTTCTAAGTTCTTGCCATTTTTATTACTTTTTTTTATTTTATTTTATTTGTGTATATATCTACACGGTTTAAACTAAAGTAACTCAATTTAAATTAATTTAAACTAAATTACCTAAATAGACAATTTAAAACTAAATGAAAATAGAGATGTTGCCTTGGCAACTAGATGAAAAAAAATAAATGTATTTTTTTTAGATTGTATTATTTCAGTTTTACAGTTTGATGATGCACATTTGCGTAGTGTGAAAGATAGATATTGTTCTAGTTTGTACTGTAATTTCATCTTACACACAATTGGGTCAGGTGTGCAAGGCACCATTTATTTTTTGGATTTTATTTCAACTAACAAAAACCTTTTTTTTATGCTTTTATTTGTATTTTTAGTTAAGTACAATAACCCTGATGTGAAACACAACTAAACTCCCTTGTTTGGTTTCAGTTTCTGTCATATTTGTCACTTCATTGTGTCAAATCCAGTCTGGAAACATGCAGCAGAATTTAAGTCCCATACCAGCATCACTTGTGTTCACTCCTGCTTCCACTGTGGACCCCTTCCTGTCTTCTCCATGTTGACCTGTTCCAACCTGTGGACCATTGGCAGAGCTGCTGAAGGAGTCGGCCTGTGATTGGCCGTTGCCGTGACTACAGGTCTCCTCCTCTTCCAGGAGACTGCTGTTGATTGGAGGTTCAGTTTCCAGCCCAGACGACATCAAAATCTGCACATCTGCACAGTCAAAATAAAGCTTAAATAGAAAGTTATTAAAAAATAAGCACATAACAACAATATTACAAGATATTAAGTTACACAAAAGCCATGTCATAAGTTAAGGGAGTGTTAGGTTTTTTTTTTATTACTATAATTTCTTCTGCATTTTGACGCAATATTAACTGAATAATCATTAGACTACAGCAATAAAAATTTTATATTCATTATGAATGTTTTATTCATAATTATTATTTATTATATATTAAGCAACAGATTATTATTTTAATAATAAACTTTTTTCTTGCATTTTCTTTAACATTGGTATTTATAAGTATTAAAGACCCACCGACTGGTAGTTGGTAGTAACATTCTCCAGATTGCAATACTAGTTTAGTCAAACACTGCTGGGTTCATCTGTGGGCATGTTTCATGTTTGCAGCCAAAAATGTAAGTGGCTAAATAAAAAGCATTCAAATAACTTCAATCTCATGATGTGTGTAAACTTAAAGGACTATTGGCATTGACAGACGATGCACCTGTGAATGTAGCTGGCAGGAAAGTGAGCAGGATCTGCTGATGACTGATGTATTTGGCGTAACATTTCCAGTGAGGAGATAAGCAGTCCTGCTCCGCGCCAGCTGGCTCGTCATCCACAAGATCTGCATTACTGAAGCTCTGCCAAGAACAAACACACACACACTGTAACAACTCCGCCAACAACAGAAGGATAAGTACACTGCCGTTTGAAAGTTTGGGGTCAGTAAGATTTATTTATTTATTTATTTATTTTTAAATGAAAGAAATTAATATTTTTATTCAGCAAGGACACATTAAATTGATCAAAAGTGCCAGTAAAGTAAATTTATAATCTTACAAAAGTCTTCTATTTCAAATAAATGCTGCTCTTTTGAACTTTCTATTCATCAAAGAATCTTGGGGGAAAAAAGTATCACAGAAGCAGCAAACAATCTGGAAAATAATCTGAGAAAAATATAATATCAATTTATTTTATTTTATTTTTTTATCATTTTATTATTTAGTTAGTTTGTATTTTTTTTAATAAATATTTCTAGCCAGCCATGATTTTTTTATTTAATTAAAATGTATTTATATTGAAAATATACAAATAATGCAATTGTTTTGTGTTTTCCCCTTGCATATAAGTGATGGACTAATGTGCACCTGTAACTAGTAAGGCATGATGCCTCATAGGTTCTATTCCCAGGCAGCAATAAGCTGATGTTTAATCGTCCACTGTGGTAAAAAGTGTGTGAGTTGTATACTTTAGTTCCATCAGTGAGGGTCAGATATCAATTATGGGTCATTTATGTAATATGTATTATGCTCCAGATAAAGTTAACTCCATTTGATTTACCAGCCAAAGGCTGTTTCACACACATGTGTGGACTGGTTATCAGCAGTGTTGGGGGTAACGCATTACAAGTAACGTAATCAGATTACTTGTTTTCAAGTAACTAGTAAAGTAACACATTACTTTTTAATTTACAAGAGAATATCTGAGTTACTTTTTCAAATAAGTAACGCAAGTTACTTTTTTTTTCCAATTTATTGATTGACAGCTCTCCCGTCCTCATGTTGAGAGAAATCAGATGTTACTGTAGTTCTAAAATAAATATGAATATGCATAAAAAAAACACAGATTCAGTATTCCTCAAAATGAATAAAAATAATGCAACTCAGAATATGACGCAAACCTGCAATAATTAAATGTTAAACAACACAAATATCCTTTATGTATTAAATCCCATTCTATTAACCAATGTCTTTGCTTCTGACCTTCGATGATCCAGTTCAAGCGTACTAATAAGCACAAATTACTCTAGTACTCTTACTTTTATTGCTGAAGTGTTGAAATGTCTTCTTCTGCATTCTACTGTACGGACGTAAATTTACTTTCCCTTCAGCTTGAGGCTTATACATTTGCCTTTTGGTGTGAAAAGGCTTTTATATTTGCCAAAAATATAACTTTTTTATTTTAAAAACAAACAAGCAAGCCCTGTCCAGATTTAAAAAGTAACGCAAAAGTAACGCAACACATTACTTTCCATAAAAAGTAACATAATTAGTTACTTTTTTATGGAGTAACGCAATATTGTAATGCATTACTTTTAAAAGTAGCTTTCCCCAACACTGACTATGAGTGTGGTTGGGTTTTTTCAGCTGAGCTGTAATATGAGCTGATGTACCTGCAGTGTGCTGGAGGAGCCCGTCACCTCTTTACTGCTTCCAATCGTGTGGAAAGACAGAACAGTGTCCTGCCTCTCCAGATGCTTCAAGCTCTCCTCTGAAAACACACACACAGATAAACCTCATGAGGGAAGATCAGGGGTCAGTCTCTTCTTATGTCACTAGTAACTGCTATTGAATCAATTAAAGGTCATTTGGGATGTCTGGCATCCATTAGTGTGAAGTCTTTCAATTAGTGTGTTTTAAATCATCTACTTAGTTTAAACATCTTGTTTCTTCTTCAATGAGCGCAATGCCACTTTACACTTACACTTAAGCAAGAGTAAATGAAAACAACAAACCAAGGGTGGTTGCTCTGTGTTTCCAGATTAATTATATATATATATAAGTCTCTTCTGCTCACCAAGGCTGCATTTATTTGATCAAAAATACAGTAAAAACAGTCATATTGTGAAATATTATTACTATTTAAAATAACTGTTTTCTATTCGTATGTGTTAAAATTTAATTTATTCCTCTGAAGGCAAAGCTGAATTATAATATACTGTATATATACACACACACTACCAAATGATTTTAATAGATGTCTATTCTGCTCGCCAAGGCTGCATTTATTTAATCAAAAATACAGCAAAAACTTATATTGTGAAATATTATTACAATTTATATAATAAAATAATTAAAACTAAAATTAAATATATAATAACAGTTTTCTATGTATATATATTTTCAAATGTAATTTATTGCTGTGATCAAAGCATCATTCCTCCAGTCTTCAGTGTCACATGATCTTCAGAAATCATTCTAATATGCTGATTTGCTGCTCAAGAAACATTTCTGATTATTATCAATGTTGAAAACAGTTGTGCTGCCCAATATTTTTGTGGAAACTATGAAAAAAGTTATTTTTTTAGGATTCTTTGATAAAATAGAAAGTTCGAAAGAACAGCGTTTATTTGAAAAAGAAATCTTTTGTTACATTATAAATGTCTTTACTGTCACTTTTCATCAATTTAATGCATCCTTGCTGAATAAAAGTATTCATTTCTTTCAAATCTTTTGAACAGTAGTGTATGTTTTCATTTGGGTGCATGAGCGTTGCAGACATTTTACCATTAATACAGGCAAATCACCTTTGATGACAGGAAGTGAGAATGGAGCCACGTGGCCATCTCTTTCCCGCTCTAGGATGTGATGCATGAACGCCACATGATCGCCGTCAGTCAACAGGATCTCTCGATCACTGAGCTCGTTCTGCAGCGAGCCGTGGAAGAGGCTGAGGAGGAGGTCGTTGGGCAGAGAGGAGGTGCTACGGGAGGCGTCCTCCTGCCCCTCTGTAACAGAGGTCAAAGGTCAACAGAAAAACTGTGAAATAAGCCCCAGTGTTCACTCATTCGTGACCCTGGACCACAAAACCAGTCATAAGTGTCAATTTTTCGAAATTGAGAATGCATCTGAAAGCTGAATAAATAATCTTTCCATTGATGTATGGTTTGTTAGGATAGGACAATATTTGGCGGAGACACAACTATTTGAAAATCTGGAATCTGAGGGTGCAAAAAAATCTAAATATTGAGAAAATCAGCTTTAAAGTTGTCCAAATGAAGTTCTTAGCAATGCATATTACCAATCAAAAATTTTGTTTTTTATATATTTACGGTAGGAAATTTACTAAATATCTTCATGGAACACGATCTTTATTTAATATTCTAATGATTTTTGGCATAAAAGAAATCGATAATTTTGACCCATACAATGTATTTTTGGCTATTGCTACAAATATACCCCAGCGACTTAACACTGCTTTTGTGCTCCAGGGTCACATTTGGATAAAGGAATATGAATGTAAGAAAGAACAGGAGGAGGGTAGGGGAGGACAGACAATGGACTTGTACCTCGGCTGAAGGTGTAGAAGAAGAGCTCGATCTGCTGGCACTTGGGCAAGAGTTTCATCAGGTCGAACTGGAAAGGCACAGTGTGTATGCAGTCATCAGCAGCAGCGGCAGGGATCTCGCCTACAGGAGCAACACACCACACTGAGCTTCAGATCTCATATGACTGTGTGTAAGGAGACGGCTGAAGGTGCAGGTTTGTACCTGGAGCATCTCTGACGCTGCTGAGAGGACACACCTGCTCTTTATTCTGACACAGCTGGATGAGGTATTCGAATGTGATCATCGTCGTCATGCACGACAGATCACGGGGAAAAATCTGGAACAGAGAAATGCAATTCATAAGCTTTGACTCTGTCAGTTCTCAATAAAAATGCCTAAATACATTAAAGTCTGCATGAAATCAAAACTGACCCCGTTTACTTTCTTACTTAATGTTCCTGGTGTTACTGGGCACAAAAAAAAAAATATATATATACATATAGATATATATATATACTGTACATCTATAAAAATCCATTTTCATGACTCCTCTTTGATAAAATTCATGTGTTCACATGGCAATTTTTTTCAAGGAGTGAGTTTTGTGATCCATGAACCCAGAAATACGCTTCTCACGTGGTCTATCACATGTTCAACATTATTTTAAATATCACATTTAAAAATAGAACAATTTATGCACTATTATTTAAATGGTTTTCTGTCTTAAATTTTCTCTCTCCAAATAATGGATGTAATAAAATCAGAAATATGATAACGAAATATCAAGATAAACATCTGACCTGGCTACTTGGTCATTATTGTAGTTTTTATAAAATGAATTACTTTTTTTTGTTTTATATATATATATATACAGTTTATATATATATATTTCTCTCTTTCATTTTAATTTTAGCTAATTTTTTTGCGTGTTTTTGACAATTTATTGTCATTTTGTTGAATTGTTTACATCTATATAATTTTTATTCATTTCTAATTCAGTTTTAGTTATTTTAGTACATCTCAAGTAAATGAGAAACTATCTGAAGTGAAATACGTTTTTTAATACTTAATGTGATTTTAGGTAACATTTTATTTAAGTTATGAAAATATATATTTTTTATGGTTTTAATTTTAGTTTGTTATCTATAATACTTCTGGTAGAATGACTAGTCGAACAAGCTGTAATTGATATAAATGTATATAATGCATATTTTTAAATTGTATTGCATACCTGTTGCTGCCATAATAACGGCCCATTTCAAAAATGTATGTAATTTTGTTCTCTTTTTCTACTTAACAGCTCCTACTCACTATAGTGGAGCGATGACGTAACATTAAAAAATATATATTAAAACTGTATAGTGAAAATACCACTTTTCACCATATTTGACTGTGTATTCTGGTAAAGATGTCACTCAGAAATGCATTATAGGAGCTAAAAGCTTTGTAATTGCCACTTTATGAATGCTCATGTAAAGCTAATTGTACTGACCACTGGTCAAGTCTCACAGCTTTGTAAAATAGGTACAATTACTAGGCATTTTTCTGTCACATATGAGTGGCAGTCATGAGTTGTGACTAACAGCCTGAGGGATCTCCTGATACGTGAGCTTCTCAAAGTGTCTCTGCTGCTCCAGTGAGCTGCAGACAGCTCCGCTCTGAGGCTCCACCCAGCACTCCGTCACCAAACTCAGCTCTGTGTCCACATCTATGGCCTCCACCTCAGTGTCATTGTCATCATCTGTGGAGAAACTGGAGACACCACGCCAAACACAGACAGAGTTAAACCCAACGCCCATTATAAGACAAAAACTATCACTAACTAACTGTGCTCTTCTAATCTTTTAATTGAATTAGTGCACCTAGCATGCCATTAGCTGTATGAAGAGGACAAACCATATTCGCAAACAATTAAATATTTTTCAGTTCTGCACTATTTATTGTATTTTATCTCTCCAAATAATGGATGTCATAAAAGTGAAAATTAGCAGAAATACAATAATGCAACCTCTTGGTTTGAGACAGTATTATAGTTTTAATTCATATTTTGAATTAGTTTTTATTTTTTGTATTTTCATTTTAATTGTAAAGTTTTCACTCATTGTCATTTTTACATTGTTCAGATCTTAACTATTTATTTATTTATTGTATTTTTTTTTTTTCAGTCATTGCTTTTTTTTGTTTTATATATATATATATACAGTTTATATATATATATTTCTCTCTTTCATTTTAATTTTAGCTAATTTTTTTGCGTGTTTTTGACAATTTATTGTCATTTTGTTGAATTGTTTACATCTATATAATTTTTATTCATTTCTAATTCAGTTTTAGTTATTTTAGTACATCTCAAGTAAATGAGAAACTATCTGAAGTGAAATACGTTTTTTAATACTTAATGTGATTTTAGGTAACATTTTATTTAAGTTATGAAAATATATATTTTTTATGGTTTTAATTTTAGTTTGTTATCTATAATACTTCTGGTAGAATGACTAGTCGAACAAGCTGTAATTGATATAAATGTATATAATGCATATTTTTAAATTGTATTGCATACCTGTTGCTGCCATAATAACGGCCCATTTCAAAAATGTATGTAATTTTGTTCTCTTTTTCTACTTAACAGCTCCTACTCACTATAGTGGAGCGATGACGTAACATTAAAAAATATATATTAAAACTGTATAGTGAAAATACCACTTTTCACCATATTTGACTGTGTATTCTGGTAAAGATGTCACTCAGAAATGCATTATAGGAGCTAAAAGCTTTGTAATTGCCACTTTATGAATGCTCATGTAAAGCTAATTGTACTGACCACTGGTCAAGTCTCACAGCTTTGTAAAATAGGTACAATTACTAGGCATTTTTCTGTCACATATGAGTGGCAGTCATGAGTTGTGACTAACAGCCTGAGGGATCTCCTGATACGTGAGCTTCTCAAAGTGTCTCTGCTGCTCCAGTGAGCTGCAGACAGCTCCGCTCTGAGGCTCCACCCAGCACTCCGTCACCAAACTCAGCTCTGTGTCCACATCTATGGCCTCCACCTCAGTGTCATTGTCATCATCTGTGGAGAAACTGGAGACACCACGCCAAACACAGACAGAGTTAAACCCAACGCCCATTATAAGACAAAAACTATCACTAACTAACTGTGCTCTTCTAATCTTTTAATTGAATTAGTGCACCTAGCATGCCATTAGCTGTATGAAGAGGACAAACCATATTCGCAAACAATTAAATATTTTTCAGTTCTGCACTATTTATTGTATTTTATCTCTCCAAATAATGGATGTCATAAAAGTGAAAATTAGCAGAAATACAATAATGCAACCTCTTGGTTTGAGACAGTATTATAGTTTTAATTCATATTTTGAATTAGTTTTTATTTTTTGTATTTTTATTTTAATTGTAAAGTTTTCACTCATTGTCATTTTTACATTGTTCAGATCTTAACTATTTATTTATTTATTGTATTTTTTTTTTTCAGTCATTGTTTTATTTTGATGCTATTTACAAACAATTTTTTTTTCAGATCCTGCACAATTCATGAAGGCAGAGTTTCCCAAACTTATTTGTCAAACAAACATTTTATGACCAAAATGATTTCCTGTGAACTACCCCCTGAGACTTTAACTAATGCTAAATGTAATGAATTTCATAACATCTTCAAATTTGGAATTAATCAAAACAATAAACATAGTTAATTAAAACAAAGTTGTTTAATTATTTGATTTAAATTAAACCAAACTTAACTGATTATTAAGGTTTAATTAACAAATAAATGTTCTATTGATTTTTTTCTTTATATATTTTTACAAATTTTACTTATTTTTATATTACATTTTAAAATGTATACGCTTTCATTTAATTCAGTATCTGTATTTCTGTCATAATCTCACACAGACCCCTGCAGTTTCATTGTAAAGCCATCATAAATTCGTAAAAATGTAGACTTTCATCTTCTCATACAAGATTAGGAGCCAGATTTTCTAAATCATAAACTTTTAAACTCAGAACCTCTTTAAATGTGAGCAGTGTGATGATGCACTCAGCCTTACAATGATCTACTCTAGACCATTACAGCATAGGAATCACTCAGCTGAAGCCATCGAAGAATTTAGCAGTGAACAGATGAAGCGTTACCTGTCCTTGGTAGAAGTGGAATGAGGTGGGAAAAGGATGTACTGGACAATGCAGGTGTGTTTTTCTCCGTCCAAATCAGCTGACGGACTCTGCATGCACAGTTGTGGCTGAAAGTTAGAGATGCATCGCTACCAAAACGCTAAAACTGGGATATACTAGCGTAGAGTGTTCATACTTTCACCTGCATTGGCAGTTCTGACACCATGTTGACGATACCCTCTCCGCTGGCGGCAAAGTGGAAGCCTTCCGACAGACGAATACTGCACAATCGAAAACAGCCATTGAGAATGCAGCAAATGCTCTTGACAGAAGTGACTTCTTACAGGTCAAGGATGTTTTAGACTCACTCGGAGAGCATGGAGAGGATATGAGCGACTGCGTGCAGCGACACGGCGGTTCCCGGGCCGTTCTGAACGGCCCAAACCCAGCGCTGGTGCAGGAAGTATCGGGACAGAGACGCCATGGTGGAGGACGCCGTCCTGCTGGCAGCCATGCTGAGAGGGGCGCCCATGATGGGCGGCTGAGCGAAGGGCTCCATGTTTAAGATGAAAGGGGTGCGGAAATCTGACGGAAGTTTCTCGTACCTGCAGCAGGACGTCAGAACAAGATTAGGGAGCAGATTTGCTAAATAATAAGCTTTTAAAACCTACAGAAGAACTAATCAGAGTCAGTGTTGTCATTTTAAACTAAAACGAAAACTATTGAAAAAAAGGAAAATGTGACCCTGTCTGTGAAATCCAGGCTAAAGTCTCAAAATCTAATTATGAGATAACAAGCATCAAAGTTGGATTTCAACCATTAATTTCACTATGATTTAAATTTTAGACATGGCCTTACTAAGTCAATATTAAAGATACAAAGGTTATTTTCACAGAATGTTCTTTACATCTTTATAAAGGATGATTTGATGTAGAAAACAGATTAGAAAATGAGAAAAGCTTAAATTTAAAGAACTTTAAAGAAATGAAAATTCGAAATGTTGGCATGGCAGCGATCAGAAATAAAATACACTGAAGCTTAAGTACTAAAATGACTAAAACAGAAACAAAAATGATGCTAAATAGAAATACAAAAATAAATGGCAAAAGCACAAATAATTACAAAATTAAACTAAAATTCAAACTAATAAAATGACATGATATAATAAAAATGACAAAAATAACTAGTGGTCGAACGATATTGGTTTTTTGACAGCCGATACCGATGACGATATCTTGGAAAGCAGGGTGGACGATGGCCGATATAAAGCCGATATAATTTTATTTATTTTAATTCATATTTAAGAAATTTGAAATAATTTGAAAATTGATTAAAAAAATAAATGTGTTAAATTTGAAATGTTTATTAGACATTCAAAGATTTGTTTAAATGATATAAATGCGTATTTGCTGAATGCTGACGCAAACAAGATAGTATTATAATGTTTGTCTTTCTATTACTAATAATATAAAAGCAGGCATTATAAGACTTTTTGTATACATTTTAATTCCTTTGTTTAACCATTCTATCTGATTATTAGACAGACTTCTATCTGTATTTAGACAGAACTGTTAACGACAACAGCGAACAAGAGGGAGAATGTGAGCACTGTGTGCCCAGGAGCTGCCGTTCTCAGCGCCGTCAAAATAAAAGTCACGCCTCGAACGCATTGGCCAAACAGGAAAACTTATCGGCCAATGCCGATATTTTTAAAATGCCAAATATCGGCCGATATATCGGCCTTGGCTCGGTCGACCACTAAAAATAACTAAATTACTAAAACTTTAACTAAAATTACAATGAAAACAGAAAATATGAAAAAAAACAAGATATTAATAAAAACTAAATTAGTATAAATAATAATAAAATAACACTTATCTAAGTCTGCATTAAAACAGTGTTCGCAAATCCTTGTAATTTTGTAAAGTGACACATTCCAGAGTAAAACACGATATTAAACACATTAATCTTTGGAATTTAGTCCAGTTTATCCATTAGACATTGATCATGAAAAGTTCAAATCTAAAAATATTAAATACAGAAATAAAAAGGCTTTGTGTGAGTATAAAGTAAAACTTTTTTCTTCAGACTAACACGCACCAATGAATCGTTCACAGTAAGACGTGTAGTGAGAAAATAAGGTAACTTTTGACTTCATGTTGATTATAGGTCCGTCATAACTTCATGAAGCTAAATTGAGATAACTGTAATAAGATCTATTATTGTTTAATGTTACGTCACAGACCTGATCAGTAGTTTTTCCAGAGGTTTGTTGAGCACCACCACACACGGCCGGTCAGACAGCGCCGGTTTGGGCACAGAAAGAGGCGGCGACATGGAGGGCGACGCGTTACCCAGAATCTTCCGCTTGGTTTTTGGCGTGGCCTCCTTATTCTGGACTCGATGAGGGAACCGCAGCCGAAGGATCTGCTCACGAAGTTCATCCACAATCTACAGAGTAAGAAACACTCGTTCTCTTATGCGCCTCCATACAGTGCTGCTCTGAAAACAGCTTTCGCAGCAACCAAATGAACTGAATTCTAGTGTGGAAAACACCTTCACCTTGTTCCTGGAGTGTGCCAGAGTCCCTATCGGGAAGCCCAATCGCAGCACCATGCAGGGAGCTTTAGAGATCAGACGCACCAGATAGAAGGAGACGGGGGGCAGCTCAGAGGCACTGTGGGAATAATGCTTGTTAAACACTGCTGAACTGCTCTGTAAATCTGCCAAATGAACTGCGTATGAAATAATGATATTTTAGTATCATTGAGATACCACTATAGTTTTTAATAATATTTTGAGTTTTTATTTGTAGATTTTCCATTTTCATTTTTATTAAAGTTTGAGTAATTTTGTTGTGATTTGTCATTTTTATTAATATTTTGAATTAGTTTTTATATGTATATTTTCCATTTTCATTTTCATTAAAGTTTGAGTAATTTTGTTGTGATTTGTCATTTTTATATTTTATATTTATTTTATTTCAAGTAACACATAACTATAATAACCCTTGGAATAAACACAGTCACATACATAATCCCCAAAAAGTATTTGGACACTTTAGTCACACAGTGTTGTTACTGTTAATTAAAATTATTTAAAAAAAAATAGGTAATTGAAAAAAGCTCAAATAAAATAAAATCTAAATATTAGATGAAAAAACATACACGAAAATTTGAAATGTATTAGAAATAACTGAAATATGTTAATGTTGAAGTATAAAAATTACTAAAACTAAAGCTGAAATAAAAATTAATTAAAGCTATATAGAATTTCTTTTAAATGACTAAAGCACATAAAAAAAAAATAATAATGAAAATATAAAAATAACAGGTATGAATGAATGATATAATAGCAACACAATATAATATAAATAAATAATATAAATAACACTGGTTATTTATATCTGAATGTGGGAAAAATGTCTGAATCTAGTGTGGGAATAATGCTTGTTAAAATGCTCTGTAAATCTGTCAAATGAGCTGTGCATGTACCTGTAGATAAGTTTGACGTATGAGTATCCCTCCACCAGGACGAAACTGCTCCAGTCCCTGAGCAGCGAGGTGAGCGCCGAGTGAGAGATGCGACACTGGATGGTACTGAAGCGACCGTTACTGCCAGCGTTGTGCACGTGCTTTGGGACCGGGCTGAACAGAGAGACACACAGCAAAACAGAGACAAGAAAACCGTTTACTGCCATTGGGATTTAATGCACACTGAATCTAAATCCAATCTCTCTTATTTCATTCCAACTCAAGTTAACATTTTGCTGATAGGTCTATGCTATAGAGACCGCTGACCAATCCAGGCTGTGTTCACTCACATGTCATGCTCCAGAAGGATAGCGATGCGATGCATGTGCAGCCAGCGCTGCCAGAAGTTGGCATCCATGGACAGGATGGGCTTCCAGTAGGAGGCAAACTGTGATTGGCTGGAGTCTTTAGAGCCACTGTGCTGGAGGGAGAGGACCTGATGGAGAGCAGGATTGTGTTTAACATGTTTAAATCACCAAAACACAACAAAAACATGAACCTTAGTGTGCTACGCTACTGTTTATGTAATTTAAGAGACGCTTTTTTCACAGAATTCACAACATTTTTCAAGGTTTTTTAAAAAATTCACCAGGGCTGCATTTATTTGACCAAAAATATAGTAAAAACAGTAATATTCTGAAATATTATTTCAGTTTAAAATTACTGTTTTCTATGTGAATATATTGTAAAATGTAATTTATTTCTGTGATCAAAGCTGTATTTTCAGCATCATTACTCCAGTCTTCAGTGTCACATGATCTTCAGAAATCATTCTAATATGCTGATTTGCTGCTCAAGAAACATTTCTGATTATTATCAATGCTGAAAACAGTTGTGCTGTTGCATGTTTTTTGTGGAAGCACTTTATTTTTCAGGATTCTTTGATGAATAGAAAGTTTAACAAAAATAGCATTTAAAACCAAATAAATCGTTTAGAACATTATAAATGTCTTTACTGTAACTTTTAATCAATTTAATGCATAATTTCTGAACATTATGAATTTTTGAGTATGAATTTCTTATATATATATAAAAGTCTTACTGTCCCAAACTTTGTGCACTATTTCGTTTTGCACTAACACTCACCGGTGTGCTGGATCCAGGTGGGATGTAAAACAGAGGAACCCCATTTTTCGTGCTTTCGGGGATGGTGTAGTGTTCTGGGATGGAATTAAAGGACTGCAGGTGCACCAACATCTGATCTGTCTGATTTATGCTGTTGAGGAGAAACACTATACAGCATTACTCTACATCAAACTAAAGCAGACCGTAAATCTTCCTTCTGCGATCATCATTCAAGATAAGACTGAAACCAGAGTTTATAACTGACCTCTGCAGAGTGTTCCAGAAGCGGCGGATGACAGACGTCCGGTAGGGGCTTGTGATTGGTTTCCGCATGGTGCAGCTGATGTCATGGAGGATGTCGTAGCTGCCCTCTATGGTCACCTCCACCCAGGTGGTGCGTTTGACTGGATTCAGGGGCCAAGACGCCACGGCAAGGTACTCGATACGCATGTTATGCTTCCAGAGGAGGACCAGCTTCACCTCCAGCTGACTTCCTCCTTATAAAGAGACGAGATTATTTTGAAATCTCAAGGGTGCATTAAATGCATAATATTTGTATATATTCATTATACAAGCATACTTGAACACCTGACCCTATGAGGTTAAAGTACCTTTAGTGATGTTGATTTCCCGGATGGTGTATCCCTCTCGCAGTCTGATGGACAGCACACTGATCAAGTCAGCGTGCACTTCTTTCTCCGTGTGTTTCTTCCTGCGCATCACTAAGGCGGGGTTTCCACTGGCCGACACCAGGTGTTCATTAAAGAGCCTGTGCTGGGAGACTACAAACACACAGACGACACAGACCAGCCATTACAGTGCTGTAGGCATTGCATTATGCAAAAGATAAACCTAAAATAAATTCATTTAAATATACGGCCACACTTTTAAGGACTAATTCTCACTATTAACTACAACTTTTGCCTCAAACTATATAATAAAATAATTTGCTGCTTATTAATAGTTAGTAAGGTTAAGTTTAGGTATGAGGTAGATTAAGGAATCTAAAATACGGTCATGCAGAATCAGACATTAATATGTGACCCTGCAGCACAAAAGCAGTGTTAAGTCGCTGGGGTATATTTGTAGCAATAGCAAAAAAAAAACATTGTATGGGTCAAAACTATCAATTTTTCTTTTATGCCAAAAATCATTAGAATATTAAGTAAAGATCATGTTCCATGAAGATATTTTGTAAATTTCCTACCGTAAATATATCAAAACTTCATTTTTGATTAGTAATATGCATTGCTAAGAACTTCATTTGGACAACTTTAAAGCTGATTTTATCAATATTTTTATTTTTTTGCACCCTCAGATTCCAGATTTTCAAATAGTTGTATCTCGGCCAAATATTGTCCTATCCTAACAAACCACACATCAATGGAAAGATCATTTATTCAGCTTTCAGATGATGTATAAATCTCAATTTCAAAAAATGTACCCTTATGACTGGTTTTGTGGCCCAGGGTGACATATGTGCTTTATAAGTACAGCCAATATGCTAGTAATATAAAAATAGTGAGAAGTGTTACTATATATATGGTCATTTTGCATTCTAACCAAATCAAATCCTAGCTGTATGTAGATGTTTTAAAAGTGAAAGTAAAATCAGTTGTGGTTCCCTGCAGTCAGATGCTTGCGTTTCACAAATGATTAAGCAACTTCAAAAGAGGCCCACTGAAAATCATATGACATCTGAACTAACTTTTGACCAAACCTCGTGAAAATGATGAGTATGAAACTACCTCTAATGTGATATGAATTTGGCTTGACTAGGAGGCAGAAATGAAAGTGCACAGACAGGGCTGATATACTGAGTGCTGAGAGCTTTGGTATTCATTTCTTTGCAGTCTGATAATGTGTGGGGAACTAACAGTGTTTTAAGTGAACAGAGAAATATTGTCTAAGAAATATTCAAGCGTTCAAACATCTCCGAATGCTATCCATCCTTCTCTGTGGTTCTCACTTCTCATATTTGCCTATTAAAACAGCAGCTGTGTAATCTCAGTTTTAGACTTCCACGGTCATCTACATAAGTACGTTCTAAGTAAACTATTTAGACACTTTAATCACACTCAGGGCTGTTACTGTTAACTAAAACTGTTAAATATTATTTTTTGGCAATTGGAAAAAGAGCTGAAATAAAATAAATATTAGATGAAAATGGAAATAAACTGAAATAAATATGTTTACGTTGGAGTATTAAAATTATTAAAACTCAAAGTGAAATAAAAATCTTTATGAAATTCAAAAAATAATAAAATATTTAAAAATAAATGACAAAAACGCATAACATAAAATAATACTGAGAATTCAAAATATAAATAAATACTACAACAGTAAAAATATTACTGAAATAACACTGCTCACTTAATGTCTGAATGTCACTGCATTACTTAACAAAATATGAAATCAAATGGCTATTTTTAAAAAGTACTACAGACACATTTTATTTTTCAGGATTCTTTGATGAATAGAATGTTTATTTGAAACAGAAATCTTTTGTAACATTATAAATGTCTTTGCTGTCACTTTTGATCAACTGAACGCATCCTTGGTGAAAACAAATCCTGCTGGCCCCAAACTTTTGGACTTTGTAGTTTTGCGCTAACACTCACCGGTGTTGTGGATCCAGGTGGGATGTAAAACAGAGGAACCCCATTTTTCGTGCTTTCGGGGATGGTGTAGTGTTCTGGGATGGAATTAAAGGACTGCAGGTGCACCAACATCTGATCTGTCTGATTTATGCTGTTGAGGAGAAACACTATACAGCATTACTCTACATCAAACTAAAGCAGACCGTAAATCTTCCTTCTGCGATCATCATTCAAGATAAGACTGAAACCAGAGTTTATAACTGACCTCTGCAGAGTGTTCCAGAAGCGGCGGATGACAGACGTCCGGTAGGGGCTTGTGATTGGTTTCCGCATGGTGCAGCTGATGTCATGGAGGATGTCGTAGCTGCCCTCTATGGTCACCTCCACCCAGGTGGTGCGTTTGACTGGATTCAGGGGCCAAGACGCCACGGCAAGGTACTCGATACGCATGTTATGCTTCCAGAGGAGGACCAGCTTCACCTCCAGCTGACTTCCTCCTTATAAAGAGACGAGATTATTTTGAAATCTCAAGGGTGCATTAAATGCATAATATTTGTATATATTCATTATACAAGCATACTTGAACACCTGACCCTATGAGGTTAAAGTACCTTTAGTGATGTTGATTTCCCGGATGGTGTATCCCTCTCGCAGTCTGATGGACAGCACACTGATCAAGTCAGCGTGCACTTCTTTCTCCGTGTGTTTCTTCCTGCGCATCACTAAGGCGGGGTTTCCACTGGCCGACACCAGGTGTTCATTAAAGAGCCTGTGCTGGGAGACTACAAACACACAGACGACACAGACCAGCCATTACAGTGCTGTAGGCATTGCATTATGCAAAAGATAAACCTAAAATAAATTCATTTAAATATACGGCCACACTTTTAAGGACTAATTCTCACTATTAACTACAACTTTTGCCTCAAACTATATAATAAAATAATTTGCTGCTTATTAATAGTTAGTAAGGTTAAGTTTAGGTATGAGGTAGATTAAGGAATCTAAAATACGGTCATGCAGAATCAGACATTAATATGTGACCCTGCAGCACAAAAGCAGTGTTAAGTCGCTGGGGTATATTTGTAGCAATAGCAAAAAAAAAACATTGTATGGGTCAAAACTATCAATTTTTCTTTTATGCCAAAAATCATTAGAATATTAAGTAAAGATCATGTTCCATGAAGATATTTTGTAAATTTCCTACCGTAAATATATCAAAACTTCATTTTTGATTAGTAATATGCATTGCTAAGAACTTCATTTGGACAACTTTAAAGCTGATTTTATCAATATTTTTATTTTTTTGCACCCTCAGATTCCAGATTTTCAAATAGTTGTATCTCGGCCAAATATTGTCCTATCCTAACAAACCACACATCAATGGAAAGATCATTTATTCAGCTTTCAGATGATGTATAAATCTCAATTTCAAAAAATGTACCCTTATGACTGGTTTTGTGGCCCAGGGTGACATATGTGCTTTATAAGTACAGCCAATATGCTAGTAATATAAAAATAGTGAGAAGTGTTACTATATATATGGTCATTTTGCATTCTAACCAAATCAAATCCTAGCTGTATGTAGATGTTTTAAAAGTGAAAGTAAAATCAGTTGTGGTTCCCTGCAGTCAGATGCTTGCGTTTCACAAATGATTAAGCAACTTCAAAAGAGGCCCACTGAAAATCATATGACATCTGAACTAACTTTTGACCAAACCTCGTGAAAATGATGAGTATGAAACTACCTCTAATGTGATATGAATTTGGCTTGACTAGGAGGCAGAAATGAAAGTGCACAGACAGGGCTGATATACTGAGTGCTGAGAGCTTTGGTATTCATTTCTTTGCAGTCTGATAATGTGTGGGGAACTAACAGTGTTTTAAGTGAACAGAGAAATATTGTCTAAGAAATATTCAAGCGTTCAAACATCTCCGAATGCTATCCATCCTTCTCTGTGGTTCTCACTTCTCATATTTGCCTATTAAAACAGCAGCTGTGTAATCTCAGTTTTAGACTTCCACGGTCATCTACATAAGTACGTTCTAAGTAAACTATTTAGACACTTTAATCACACTCAGGGCTGTTACTGTTAACTAAAACTGTTAAATATTATTTTTTGGCAATTGGAAAAAGAGCTGAAATAAAATAAATATTAGATGAAAATGGAAATAAACTGAAATAAACATGTTTACGTTGGAGTATTAAAATTATTAAAACTCAAAGTGAAATAAAAATCTTTATGAAATTCAAAAAATATTAAAATATTTAAAAATAAATGACAAAAACGCATAACATAAAATAATACTGAGAATTCAAAATATAAATAAATACTACAACAGTAAAAATATTACTGAAATAACACTGCTCACTTAATGTCTGAATGTCACTGCATTACTTAACAAAATATGAAATCAAATGGCTATTTTTAAAAAGTACTACAGACACATTTATCAAGGAAAATCATGGACGGTATGAAATGCTAAAACAGTAGTTCTAGTGTTGAAAATGACATTAAGTATTTTTCTAGTGGTTAGTGAAACATGTCTGTAGATAATGTGATTCAAACACACTAAGACTTCAAAAGTGCTCAAGAAAAGTGATGTTAGTGAAAAGAGGAGATCCTGTGGCATACAGATTTGATGTTCAGATATTCTTAGGTGTGGCTTCAGTGTTGAGCTTACAGCAGCAGTACTCTGGGTTCATGGACTCGCCGGGCCTCAGGAAGGAGTATGTGAGGAAGGCGCGGTGGTAAGCGTTCATCTCGTCGCCTGTAGAGTCGGACTCTGGATACATGGACAGGTAGGAGCCAAAGGTTGCCATGGAGATGAACTTCATCAGCTCCACATTGGGGATGTAGCCAAAACTACAGTCATAGGAGTAAGCACCGCCCACCTGAAGGAAACATTCACAAACACAACACCTCAGAGCAGTTATACAGTAAAACAAATAATCTGCATTTACCATTTAAAGGTTTGAGGTCCGTAAGATTTTGTTTTAAAGAAAGTAATACTTTTACTCATCAAGTAAATTGACCAAAAGTTACAGCAAAGACATAATGCTACAAAAGATTTCTATTTCAAATAAAAGCTGTTCTTTTGAACTGTCTATTCTTCAAAGAATCCTGAAAAATAAAATGTATCACAGTATCCACAAAAATATGAAGCAGCACAACTGTTTTCATCATTGATAATAATCAGAAATGTTTCTTGAGCAGCAAATCAGCATATTATTATGATTTCTGAAGATCATGCGACACTGAAGACTGGAGGAATGATGCTGAAAATACAGCTGCACATCACATAAATAAATTACATTTTAATATATATATTCACATAGAAAACACTTATTTTAAACTGTAATATTTCACAATATTACTGATTTTACCATATGTTTTTATCTAATAAATGCATCCTTGGTGAGCAGAAGAGACTTCTTTAAAAACCATTAAAAATCTTACCAACCCCAAAGTTTTGAATGGCATTGTAAATAATATTATTTATAATATATTTGTGAGTTGTCTAATGGATCGGAGCAGCACCTGGACAAACGAACAGGCAATGGTTCCACTTCTTAACTGGTTCAGTAGCGTTTCACACACAGCAACATCAGGAACACTCGTCACTCCGTCTGTGATGATTATTATACCTGCAGGACAACACAAAAGACGACTAACTACACAAGCACTTTATTCACTGCCATTTATGCACTTATTGTACTGCGCACTTAGACTGAGAGAGACCACATGACTGACCATTTAGGCATGGGTTAAACCCTGCAAACTTTAGCTCTTCTTTAAAAGCACTCATGGTATAAACAATTTTGTTTCTAGATTCACTGTTAATATCTAATGAATAAATGGAAAATAAACGGTTTGTGAATGTGATGTTCACTGGATTTCAACACGTATGGAGACACTTACCTGCACCAGAGTTTGGAGGCAGAAGTTGCAGCGCGAGAATGCCCTGCCTCACCATGCTGACCAGCCCGACATCTGCCGTCACCATGGAAACCCCCGGCTTCCTCTGAGACGGTTCCTCCACAATGTTATTTATTTCTGTGATGCGCAGCTGTATTTTCAGCATCATTCCTCCAGTCTTCAGCGTCACATGATCTTCAGAAATCATTCTAATATGCTGATTTGCTGCTCAACAAACATTTCTGATCATTATCAATGATGAAAACACTTGTGCTGCACAATATTTTCGTGGAAACTGTGATACGTTTTATTTTTCAGGATTCCTTGATGAATAGAATGTTCTAAAGAACAGCATTTATTTGAAATATAAATGTTCTGTAACATTATAAATGTCTTTACTGTCAATTTAATACATCCTTGCTAAATAAAATTGAATTAAAAAAAAAAAAAAAAAAAAAAAAAAATCTTACTGACCCCAAACTTTTGAACAGCAGTATTACAAGACAGAATACAATTATTATGCAGAATATAATAAGAACACATGAACATTAAGCAACAACATACGAGAGGTTATGCTGAATTATGTGCATCATAATTCTGATGCCCACAGGAATGGAGACAGTCTTGTATAAACAGGTCAAAACTACACTGACAAAGGAGATCAGCGTGGCTAAGAGGAACTACTCCGAAAAGTTGAGAAACCAGTTTTCTGCCAATGACCCTGCATCAGTGTGGAAAGGACTGAAAGACGTCACCAACTACAAGACACCATCCACTTCACTGTCACTTCTGTCACCAAAACAAATTCCTCCTATGTGTAAGCATACCTGGCAATAAAGCGCTTTCTGATTCTGATTCAATATCACTAAACATTGGTGTCTTTTATCATATTGCTACATTAAGCCTCGTGGCTGTGCAATACAGTGAGTAAACCACGGTTAAGAAGCAAATTTTCTTTTCATATCAATAAATACCCTTTAAAGGGATAGTTCACCTAAAAATGAAAAAATCTGTCATCATTTACTCACCCTCAAGTTGTTCCAAGCCTGTATGAATTCCTTTCTTTTTTTACTCCTCAAAACGTCTTCTTTTGTGTTCAACAGAAGAAAGAAACTCATACAGGCTCATGTGTTCATGTTTGCGACACTTCAGAAGAAGTCTGGCAGCAGCGTTTTGGACTAGCTGAAGGCACGCAATTTGAGATTTAGATATACCTCAATATATGGAATTGCAGTAATCTAGTCGAGATGTAGCAAACGCATGAACAGCCATTTCTAGAGTTTTTGGAGTGAGAAAGTCTCTGATTTTAGACAGAAGACGAAGTAGATAAAAACTGGATCCGATAACGGAGGAGATATGTTTATCAAATTTAAATGCTGGTCGACAAGAACACCTAGGTTCCGCACCTGTGAAGATCTAACACTGCAAAGCAATGTGGCTTCTTTCTGTGCATTGATTTATTGTCCGTATGAAAAGCATGCACAAGCGAGCTGCTCTTGCCTGATTGTGCTGCTGCTGTAGGACGTCCGCGATGTTGCTCTCCACGGCTCTCAGCTGCTGATAGATCTGATGCAAGAACTGCTCCAAATCCATACAGTCCAGCTGACAGCCCTGAACTAACACCTGACGGGCAGAATCATGGGATATATCACTGATCAGAAAAAAAAACCGCCCAACTAATGCACAGTGAGATTCACAAAAACCTGAGATCCAGACCTGGTGAGAACTAAGGCCAATGATGGAGGAATACGCCAGAATAGTGATGAAGATCTCTGGCTGGAACACGTGATCAGTTCCTGGGACTTTAAAGGGTTTTGCCAGACCAATCAAGCACCGAGACAGAGCGTGGAAGACTTCATCAAAGATCATCTCTCCTGTGCTGTCATCCTGAAGGCAAAACACTGAGTTACTTTCATTGAAAAACAACACCTTCTGAGTTGACTGAATGTGATGATGATGATGATGGTCTCGTACCACGATCCCGGTGGACGGGCTCAGGTCCAGCTCGATGATGAAGCGGTACCTGCGCGCCAGGAAGGTGACGCGTGTGGAGGGAACCAGCAAACACGGGCAGGACGAGGAAGAAGAGTCGGGCTGCCATCCTTTCGGGAGGACGCTCAAAACATCCAGCTCATCCTCTGACTTCAGCTGACAGACACACACACAGAGAGAGACTCTCACAGGATATGATGGGATACAGTGTCATGTGATCCACGAAGATCTGCACTGATCTGGGTGATGTGATTCAGCACAAAAACTGAACAACAAAATTGCTATTGTTCCGATACAGGCCTTCAAGGTAAACAAGAAAGGCCTAAGACATGCATGGAAAGATAGATATTTTAAAAATGAATATATTAAAGGTGACATATCATGAAAATCTGACTTTTCCAGGTTTTAAGTTCCATAATCAGGTCCCCGGTGCATCTACCAACCAAGAAAACGTGAAAAAGATTAACCCAGTAACTTTGTTTTGGGAAGCCTTTTTCTGCAAGCATCTGAGAAAACGAGCATGTCAGATTTTGCTCCCTTGGTGACGTTGCAAAGGGATCTCATTATGATATTACCGCCCCTTCATCTTTAAGTTTACACCCATGGCGCCGTTATTGTGTTTTTGCAAGCGACAATGGTGAACCAGCTCTAATGCCATGGAGAACGTTTGAGCAAAACATGCTAACTGTTCTGTCTTTGACTGCAGAGACGAGCACAGAACAATATTTAGAGTCCCAGCCTCAGAGGAGACGAGAACAGTGGCTTTATTGATTTATTTACTGTATATTGCTGCTGATACACAGATCTAAAGCAAACATGCGATTTATTTCCCAGCTGTTTACCTTCACAGACATAACCCACTGTTTTTTGTAACTCGTGTGTTTTTAACGTAAACTTGTGTGTGAATGAGAACTTAGTTTAGTACTCGCATGCTGTGACAGCCGCTTTCTGTGCGTGTGCTTCGGGTGTGTGCGCTCAGAAAACCGTATATCAGAAGTTTAAACTCATATGGTTTAAAACGCATGATTTCAGCACGATAAACATGATAATCAGAACCAAAACAGATGTGTTTTTAGCAGGTATGAGCTGTAATGGCGCAGCTTTATTCTGGAAAAGGGGGCGGGGAACAGCAGCTCATTTGCATTTAAAGAGACAGGCCCGAAAAACAGCGTGTTTCTGCTTCCACTCAAAATAGGCATTTTCAAAATGATATAATAAATGATCTGTGGAGTATTTTGAGCTGAAACTTCACAGACACATTCTGGGGACACCACAGACTTATATTACATAATATGTCTCCTTTAAAGTAAGATTAATCGGCTGATATTTGGCCATTTTGAAGTTAATGCATCAGCTAGTAACCATCTCTGCTTGGATGGTTAACAGGAGTGGAATTATGAGTATGAGTAAATAAGCTTTTTTCTTTTCAGCGACTGTGTACAATCTCATTTGCTATCATTAAACTGTACATATATTATAACTCAAAAGTTTGGGGGTCAGAAAGATATTTTTTAAAGAGAACTTTTATTCAGCAAGGACGCATTAAATTGATCAAAAATGACAGAAAAGACACTTATAATATTTCTTCCATTTCAAATAAACACTGTTCTTTTGAACTTTCTACTCATCAAAAAATTAATATGTATAGATAAATAGATAGATAGACAGAGACAGACAGACAGACAGATAGACAGATAGATAAACAGATAGATAGATAGATAGATATCTACTCATCAAAAAATTAATATGTATAGATAAATAGATAGATAGACAGAGACAGACAGACAGACAGATAGACAGATAGATAAACAGATAGATAGATAGATAGATAGATAGATAGATAGATAGATAGATAGATAGATAGATAGATAGATAGATAGATAGATAGATAGATGAAATAAAATTATTTATTATTATATTATTATAAGATCATGTGACACTGAAGACTGGAGTAATGATGCTGAAAATTCAGCTTTGATCACAGGAATAAATTACATTTTAAAATATATTCAAATAGAAAAGAGTTATTTTATACTGTAAAAATATTTCACAATATTACTGTATTTAAAAAAAAAAAATGCAGGCTTGGTGAGCAGAAGAGACTTCTTTCTAACACGGTTCTAAATTTAAACGACAGTGTATCCGAATGAAATCATCTATCAGTCACCCTTTTCTCTAGATATTCGCATTGAGTCGTTGCAAAACCCATTAGTCGATAATGAAAGCCAACCCGGTCTCTCTCACCAGCTCAGACGGTGGACTGGACCGAACGACCTGATTGAGCCGGTTGAGGAACCAGGACAGACGCACGTTGCGTGAAATCCTGTACTCCTCTTTCATCAGCAGGTACACCTGCTCAGCCTCCTCCACCTTCAGAGAGAAAAACACCAGAAAACAGCATTTAACATGGGAACTAACCTTAACATGTCAATATAGGAGCAACTTACTGCTAAAAAGCTGATCTTACATAACACTAGATTGAAAAATGTAATTATGCCGGTTAGGTAATTGCACAAGTTTAGTATAGCACATGGCAGCCCAAAAATACTAAAACTATAATTAAAAAAAAATGTAACGTAATTTGTTTGCGACAAATAAAGAGCATTGATAAACAAAATAAAACTAGAAAACATTCCAAAAATACAAATAATTGAAATATAACATTATTTCTTAAGATTATAAATGGCGTTACACATAGAAGTTACACTGTAACTTTTTTCAAGTTATTAATTTTAATTATTTTTCATACCGGGATCTATTCAGGTGTGCATATTATAAAAGGGGCAATAATTCTAGAAGTATTTTTGACAAGTCACTCGAAAATGTTTGAATGTCATTATTTTACACACAAAAAAAGCAATTAAATATTAAAGCTGTACAAATAAACTTACTAATTAAAACAACTGACAGACGTTTGTTGAATTTGAAATGATAATATCTGTATAATTGTTATATGTTCACCATCTAACTACAGATTCCAACATCATGAAGATAAATAAACGCCATTTTGCATGTTTACAAATGCAAAGGCTAAATAGAATATTGCATATACATGTATAAATGTATATTACAGAATAATTTAACATGTCAATTCTAATTATATTTTTGCTTGTTTGTTTCCTTGCATTTTTCTAATGTAATACTGGCCCAGGAGGTGTCATCTAACAGCTAGCATGGTTCATTATATTCTATTCCTATATCAGCATAACTGCATTCAGCATCTGAAAAAAATCATATTCTACTTCAAGACGCCAAACAAAGAAACAAAACTGTTTATCATAAAAAAGAAAACAAGAACAAAAAGGTCTTTATAGTTTGATTGCTGACAGGGTTAAATAGACACTGCAGTGTTTATAACACAACCTGCATCCACTGCTGGAGAATTTCAAAAAAGCTCCAGCTAAATGTGAAGAAGAATAGAGTTAAATGCATGCAGTGTGTCCTCATTCAATAGCACTCAGATATGAAGTAGAGAAAGAGCATGTTGTTGTTGTTGTTGTTGTTGTTGTTGTCTGAGGGAGGGGCTGCAGACACATGACAGAGCTGCATTAAGCTGATTTACTTCCAAGCTCGCCTTAAACATCTCCTAAATATCTCTTATTTATTTAACAGGTTAGAAAAAGGCATTAGGTGCAAGAATAACAGAATAAAAGTCTCACATTCTCCCTAAAATAAATGTTTTTCTCATGTTCTGTGTATGTGCTCTGTTACTTAACCAGTAAACAATTCCGAAGGAACTGAATAAAACAAAGAAACACGGTCTAAATAAGAGTTTAGTTTACCTCATTGTCCTGTCTGTCTGCCATGCCGTGCTTCTCATTACTGGCAGGCTGATTTTGAGCGAGTTTTAGAGGCTTTGTGTGTCAATAAACTGCAGCTGCTTTACTTCCCGTTCACGAATTCAAAATAAAAGCCCCGATACTCGTTCATATGGAGAAAATTGTATATGCGTATTAATTATAATATTATTATTTTTAATTTAATTCTAACTTATAAAAAAATACATTAAAATATAATTTGAGAGAAAAGCCGAATCGGAAAATTTACATGAAATTATTATTTTTTTTTATTATTTTTTTAATATCTCGAATTCCATAAGAATTGTGCTAAGGAGAATTGTTGACTTCATCTTTGGCACGGTAGATGAACTGGAAATATAAACCGTTGAGATAATTAAATTCGAAAAAAATTATATATAAATATAAATCTGTAGCGATGCTATTTAAAGGGATAGTTCACCCAAAAATGAAAATTCTGTCATTGTTTACTCACCCTCAAGTTGTTTCAAACCTGTATACGTTTCTTTGTTCTGCCGAACAGAAAGGGAGATATTTTGAAGAAAGTTTGTAACCAGGCTGTTTTGGGGAACCATTGACTTCAATAGTAGGAGAAAAAACTACTATGGAAGTCAATGGTGTCCCAGAACTGCTCTGTTTCCCGCATTCTTCAGAATATCGTGTTCTGCAGAACAAAGACATTCATACAGGTTTGAAACTACTTGAGGGTGAGTAAACGATGACAGAATTTTCATTTTTGTGTGAACTGTCCCTTTAAGTTAGGAACCGTTCTCTCGGACGCGTTAAACCCGGACTCTACTTCCTGCTGCAAGGGTTTGTTTACTTCCGCTTAATTGTGACGGTTGTACAGTAGTTGAAATGCAGGTAAATTGTTATACGTTTATACTTCGTCTATTTTTGCAGCTGTTTCACATTAAGAAAAACTCAGAATTAATGCTGCAGCACGCAGGTGTTGTGCGAAAATAGACCTTGTTGCTGTAGGTTTGTGTGCTAGCAAGCTAACTGCCGAGCGCTGCGCTGCAGAATAACACGCGAGACATTGTTATTGGTGTATTATATCATATAAGAGCTGAAGGGGGATATGTGTGTGTTGTATTTGGACAGCAGCGGGAGGAGAAGCAGCTTGAGGCGTCTCTGGAGTCTCTGCACGCTCGCGTGGCTCATCTCAAAGGTTCCCTGCAGAGTTTTATATTGAAACTGGAAAACGAGCATGACAGGCTCACATGGTGAGTGAGAACTACTGATCTTTCCTGATGAACTGCTCAGTGGATCTGTCACTGCATTGACGCGGATGTTTTGAATCCAGGCCCTCAGTGCTGGATAATTTCGCCCTTCTGTCCGGGCAGCTGAACACCATCAATAAGGTGTTAAAAAACGAGAAGACCCCATCCTACAGGTCCCAGGTCATCATCCCCCTGCTGCTGTCTCCTGACCGAGATGAAGAGCTGGTGGTGAGCGTGTTCACCGAGTCACTCTGCTCATGCCTGCCTAACTAGCTTTTTTTAAGGTACGACCTTTTCTTCTGTTACAGAAACTAACAGAGCAGCGGGTGCCTGTGTTCAGCCATGAGATTGTGCCGGATCATCTCAGGACCAAACCCGACCCGGAGGTGGAGGAACAGGAGAAACACCTGAGCGCCGAAGCGGCCCGGATCGGACCTGAAGTAGCTCAGGTAAATGAGTCCACGAGGGTTCTTTACTTGACTTAACCGAGCAACACCGTAGCAAGCATCTAGCAAGGCCTAAATCCCTGTCTCCAGATGATCAAGGTATTCAGACTGAATGAGGCTTCTGTAACCCTCTGGTTCACCCTCCTGATTGTCAGTGCTCAAAGCAGACCGAAAACAATAACCGTGTTTTTTTTAATGAAATGAATGTACTATATTTTGTTTTGATTATTTATATATATATATGTATGTGTATAGTTGCTTATAATTGAATTTTCATGCATAATTATTGAATTCTATTAGATTTTGCTACTTCATTTTGACTGATTTGCAGATTATATGCCAAAAAAATGCTGTTTTTTTTTTGCATTCTTTTTTTTTAAGACTGCTTTTGTGCTCCAGGGTCACAAATGTGAAATGTATAAAGGCTAGTTGTTGAATTCTGTTCTGTTTTCTTTTTAGAAACAGATCCAAACACTGAATAAACTTTGCTCGAATCTTTTGGAAAAGCTGAATAATCCTCGTGACGACAGAGACTCTGAAAGCTCAGGTAGTTTAACCGTTGCACCTAGTTTTATATTTGCTAGGTGTGCAAAGTCATTGATGTAGAATGGACATTTCTATTCAGCTTCGAGACAAAACAAGCCATCCTTCAATCCTGCCGACACGAACGCTCTGGTGGCAGCGGTGGGGTTCGGAAAGGGCCTGTCGAAATGCAGACCACCCGGATCTGTCCCTCCTGGTCACCCTGGACAGCCGACGATGTCAACAGGTCCCACACTACAGCAGGTCACAATCGCTGGGACCACGGGCCATCAGGCCGGCATGGGAGGACAGGTCGCCCAACAGCAGCCTGGACAACCTGGTACCACATTTAATAACGTTCACAAACACATTTAGACGCAAAATCAACATTTATCATGCTTATACAATGTTTTTTTTAATTCTACACGTTCTGTTTTAACAGGTAAAATGCCCAGCAGCATCAAGACTAACATCAAGTCTGCATCCATGCATCCTTACAACCGATGAGTTTCATTCATAAATGCTGCGTTTTGTGATGCGACGTTTGGTATATGAAGCCAAAAAGCTCATTCGTTTTGTGCATTTTCAATAAACTAATTTGTTGAAATCGTGTGTTATCAAATTTCCTTTTATCACATCAGATTTCAGGACTTCAAAGAAATAAATTCAAATGTAGTACTGAGAAACACACCAGAGACACTGCAGTGAAAGCGCATTACACATACTAAACACAGTAGTGGTTTTTAGTCAGTAGGTGGCAATGTTGGCTTTTTTTATTGAATGCGTGGCTAAGGGCTAAGTACACAGCCATTCTAAAGTTAGGCTCAGATTTTTTTTTTTTATATGAATAATTCATACTTTTATTCAAGGTGACAAGTGTACTTTTTGGTTTATTTTTTCAGCTGATATGAATGTCACATAATCGCAGCTGAGTTCTGTTCATAGCCTCAGTAACAAGTATTACAAGGTGAATGGTTTTTTGACATGTATCATAGTTTTCTTTTTATCATGATGATCATGCACACATTGTGTTGCTCCATAAACAAATAGAAATCTCATACGCTTTAGGACCAGGGAAAAAGGCATTTTTCTTTTAACCCCACTGACTGTTAACCGCTCTTCTACCAGCAGCCCATGACTCGTGAACCCGACAGCATCACACACCTTCAGTAACACCTCACATCACGGGGGTGTTTAATGGTAAATCTGCAAGTGAAAATGAAAGCCATTTGGGACCCTTTTGAGTTCTTTGAGCCAATTAGCACATCAGGAGCATCGGCGGGTGATACATGAACCTTCTCAGAGGATTCCAAAATGTAATCACATTCCTAGATGTGCACATAAATTAGGTATAAAATTTCAGTTCCCTTTTGTGTTTTGTGGGTGTTAATGAATACATACGAGGAAATAATTGCTGAGAATAAACTTACGCTTTTACCCTCCAATTCAGACAGTATCAGCAAATATTCACCATTAAACATAGAACAACTGTAAATGGCAAAATACAGCAGTATGCAATATAGCAATTGCAAAAAAAAATCATTTTGGTTCTTTTTAAAACTGTTTAAAACAAGTTTTGATACTTTATCCACCTAAAATTTTAACATAATCCTCGTGGTTTTGATTTAGAGATTGTACTGATCAAGACATTGAGCTTGAAGTTACATTTCTTTGTCATTCTTTGTGATCAGCGCAAGTGCTCAAATGAACTTCAGTGGATTCATGTGGCCAAAAACACAAGACAAACTGCTTGCATTGAGTGCAGTGGGGACGTGGTTTTAAACCCCAGTTCATCCACATAAAAGTTTGTTTTAATGAGCCGATCAAAATCATGCCTGTGGATGTACAGCAGGAGGGAGATGCAATCATCATGCATTTCATATAGTGATTTAACTGGAGAGCAGGTCCCAGATGAGCAATAGAGACTAGAGCGGTGCACTTGTTTGACTACAGTAAGTACACACCTAGCAACCACTCAGAACACCCTAGCACACCTTACAACCACTCAGAACACCTCTGCATTTTTATACCAACAACCTGGCAACCATCCAACACTGAAGGAATCGTATAGCAATGCACTTTAAACCAATTCGAACGCCTTAACAACCACCTAGCAATGTGCTTTTGTGTTCCCCCAAGAAACATCGCTGTTCTTCTCGTCTCATGTTATTTACATGAACAGTTTTGTGTTCAATCTCTTGCAGAGTTTCTTGGGGGAACACAAAACTTTTGCCAAAAAACGTAACGTCACCAAACACTATTTCAGCGGCCTTAATTCAGGACTTATTTTGTCCTTTCATTTTTCCCATAGAGATTTTTAGAATGGGCTTTTATGATAGGATTTTTTAATTTATGAGTAAAACAAGTTGTACGGTAAATATAAACAGGTGATTCTTGGCCATTTTAATCTACAATGTAAATTACACACACCCGTACTGAAAATGTGAATTTTGAAGCAGTTAGGTTTATTTTAATTTTTTTTAATGTATGTTTGTAATGAGTAACTACATAAGATTGTTTGTGGTGTGAGTGTGTGCAGTCTAGCTGTACAACTAAATGTCTAATACCAAAATTGCACTGCAAAGGTGGGACAAAAGCTCTTCTGAAGTGGCATTTAGGCGTCTTTACACAGACTGGTTTAATGCTGCTCAGAGGTGGCATAAAAGCATTGCTCCTTTAGATACCAGGGGCTGAGCTGGGTCAGAGCATAATTTAGTCTGGCTTTTATGCCTCTCCATCATTTAAAATTGTATTAATGACATTCACAATGCATAATGGGATTTTAGTTCTTTCCCTCACTAAATCTATTAAGTACAGTCTTTTTGTCAGTTTTTCTTTACATTTTTGGCTTCAAATATGGGTTGTTTTGACCCAGCGGATGGGTTGTTTTGTCCCAGCGGTTGGGTTGTTTTGACCGAACCGCTGGGTCATAACAACCCAATAGCTGGGTTTGTCCCTTTTTAACCCAGCCCTGGGTTATATTTAACCCAGCATTTTTTAGAGTGCAGTATTTCATTGTGAATGCACTGATTGTACTCATTACAAAGCACAAGAGTAATGGTATTAGAGAGTAAAAGATAAATAATCCGTTTCTTCAGGTGTGTTTCTCTGGTAATTTGAGTCTGAAAATTCAGAAGGAATCTTTTCAAATGATAAACTGATCCATATAACGGTCATTATACTCATGGTGACATCTTTAAAGAGTTTAATGTGTGGTATCACAAGATAACATTTGATATAACAAATGAAATAGGATGCTGATCATGTTTTAATGCATTACTCTTTTTAAATGTATAACAATGAATTAGTAAGTATTATAATTTATTCTAACTATAATAGGCCTAGAGTTTCGCATTATAGCCTATATATATATATATATTGTGTGTGTGCATGAATAAGTATATGTTTCCCATGTCGTATCACATTTTATGCATTATTCATTGAACATTTTAATACATTATTCTCTTTAAATGTATAATCATGAATTGGCATTATAATGTAAATATTATAATAATATATAATAAAAAATAATCATATATTAAATAATGAATATTAATGCATTTTTAATTAATAATGAACAGTGTGTGTGTGTGTAACTATAAGATGTATTTTTAGGTTTTTATAATGCATTATATGTAGAGATTTCAAGCAAAGGCCAATAATAACTAATGGACAATATCCTAAACCAGATCTCTGAAAAACACATTAAAATGTAGAGTGTAGATTCTTCGTACTGAATCTCCAGAGTGAATGTGTTTGTATCCAGTGTTTTGTTCTGCTGCTGATTTGAAGCTCAGTCTGATTCACTCAAAGGTTCCTGCTCTCAATTCAATTTCAGAACAAGGTCCCGCTCGTGGCGAGTGAAAAATGAACTACAGAGAGACTCTAAATGGTGGCCATCAATAAACGTGCGGCGCTTTGCTTTGCATTCATCTTCCCCCCTTAATTTGTTTTCCAGACATCAGTCCCTCGGCTGCTGACCTTTGAGAGAGACGCTCCTGAAGCGTGTGTTTATGAAGTGCAGCCCAGAAACAATAGACTGAAGCAGCTGGAGAAATATCACAGCATTTAACCACCAGAGCCCTCCTTCTCACAGAGACACACGGAGTCATGTTACTATAGTAAAACAGCATCCGCTAAGAACAGAACACTGCCATCTGGCCCTGAACATTTCACATTTTTATCATTTTATTTGAAAGGGCTCTTGCTGAACCAGTATTCAGACTAGTGGTCAGCATATTCAGGCTATATGAGTTTTCAGTGGACACCGATCCTAAATATGTGTTTACAGCCTTGAGCAAAACTACCAGAACTTTAACTAGAATTATAATGAAATCAGAAAATATTAAAACTATTAATAAAAACTATAATGATATCTCATTTCCACTAATTGAATAGAAATGCCCAAATGAAACCAGACGCCAGAGAGAATCATATTGCAACAAAAGAAACTATTTATTTGGAATATGCATTACCAGTACAAATTAAGAGACCAAGAAACATACACCTTGTTAGTTTTTCCTTCACAAAAACGAGTTGGAATCAAAAAGACAATAGTTTGCTGTTCCATTTTACTCCTTTTATACATATGCAGAGATCTTAAAAGTTAAAACTTGACAAGAGAATGTCTCTGCGCTTGATATAAAAAAGAAGAAACATTCGAAAACACTGCAGGAGTTTAAAGAACAAAAGACATGCAACAAAGTAAACATTTGATGTTTTACAAACCGCTGTATATGCAAAAACTAAAAGCATCATTACATGAGACTTTTCTGAATACGGTGCTGCTGAGGTGCGATCTGATGAGACGGCAAACCAAAGAAAGACTATGACCCACACTATCTAGAGCTCCAAAACCTCTCTACATGGTCTCATTCTCAATCAACTGCAGTAACTGTGGCCCCAGGAGCAGAAAGCCTGCACTCATCACAGCGCTTCTCTAAAAGACTTGATCATTTCAGACGTGGATGCGATTGTTATAAAAAGAGCAAAAGATGAGTAAAGGTGCACATCTACATATAGAAGCTAGCGCGCATTCACATTATGCTTGCGAGAAAATAAAATATATGGCCGCCCGTGTATGAAATCAGAAATGAGAATCGGCTATTCACAACAGGAGGGCATCAAAAATATATCCAAACGATTTCTGCATTTGTGTGCCATCGTGAGCTTTTCCTTTCTTCTCAAGAAACACGAGTGGATTTTTGGTTTCAGGTGTAACGCGCCGGGACATTCGTGAGAAGCACATCCCAGCGCCTCGGATTTTACACAATTTACAACATGAACGATGCAATGTGAAGGTAAGAGCGGACACGCCTGTGGTTTTTGGTATCAAGGTCGCCGTAGAGAAGGCTGACATGGAACGAAAGCGATTTCACATTTGGGATTTGTTCACTTCTGATTGCCTTTTATTGCATTCTCATGTGCGCTGATGAAAATCCTTCAGCCATGATGATGATGAAGATGCTATATAAAGGGATTTATGTGTCTGTACATGAATATCAGACAAAAATTCATCAAGATTGCATGAATAACCTGAAGTGTGATGCGTGTGAATCTTATTTAAAATGCTAAATAATGATACTGTTGTGCTAATAACCTTTAGAAATGAACAATTTGATATCTACTGTATATCTGAACTGCATTGCCTTTATTTCTCCTTAAAGCAGGGACTTATGATTTTCCCTTATGTACACCAACCAAATGTTTTGAGATTCAAAGTAAAGGTTATTAGACAAGCAGAACTCTAGTTCAGCTCAGACGCAGTGCAAACTGCTTTTTCAAGCATAAGAAGTCTATTATAATGTAAAATGAGTTCCTACAGGGATGTATAAAAGTACTTTGGCACTATGGTAAAATTGCAAAAATGTTTCAAACATAACATGATGTTTGTCGTGACGATGAAGGCAGGGTTGACATACAGTATAGATGTTTGTGACTAGTCTAAAGCTCCCGTTCTCTTGGTCTGGATGTGTTTGCTGACGGATGTTTTGAGAGGTAGCATGAAGACGTTTGATGATGCGCTCTTGTGTTTTCAGAAGTCATGTACACACTGGAGAGAGGAGCGTGTGAGGCGGTGATGGAGACGGTCCGTGTGTGTGAGGATCAGTTAGAGGTGTCGGAGTGAACGCTTCCGGGTCCTTCTGTGGGGGAGGTGACGGAGGACGGGGTGGTGGGGTCCTGCCAGCCGCCGTTCGCCTGACGGAGAGACAACACACACACACACACACACAATGAGTGAGCAATCAAGCACACATTGGGTCATACAAAAAGCATCACAATATAAGAAAAAAATGGCCTGTAAATCAATAATTTGTTGTCAAATTCAGAGTGAAATTCAGATATTCCACACATTGAGTGGAATATAATTCCTATAAAGTTGATTTATTTTGATTGAGAGAGGAGCGTGTGAGGCGGTGATGGAGACGGTCCGTGTGTGTGAGGATCAGTTAGAGGTGTCGGAGTGAACGCTTCCGGGTCCTTCTGTGGGGGAGGTGACGGAGGACGGGGTGGTGGGGTCCTGCCAGCCGCCGTTCGCCTGACGGAGAGACAACACACACACACACACACACAATGAGTGAGCAATCAAGCACACATTGGGTCATACAAAAAGCATCACAATATAAGAAAAAAAATGGCCTGTAAATCAATAATTTGTTGTCAAATTCAGAGTGAAATTCAGATATTCCACACATTGAGTGGAATATAATTCCTATAAAGTTGAAAATAAAAATAATTTTGATTAATAATTAAATAAATTTAATATAAAACCGAAAAAGAAGAAACATTCGAAAACACTGCAGGAGTTTAAAGAACAAAAGACATGCAACAAAGTAAACATTTGATGTTTTACAAACCGCTGTATATGCAAAAACTAAAAGCATCATTACATGAGACTTTTCTGAATACGGTGCTGCTGAGGTGCGATCTGATGAGACGGCAAACCAAAGAAAGACTATGACCCACACTATCTAGAGCTCCAAAACCTCTCTACATGGTCTCATTCTCAATCAACTGCAGTAACTGTGGCCCCAGGAGCAGAAAGCCTGCACTCATCACAGCGCTTCTCTAAAAGACTTGATCATTTCAGACGTGGATGCGATTGTTATAAAAAGAGCAAAAGATGAGTAAAGGTGCACATCTACATATAGAAGCTAGCGCGCATTCACATTATGCTTGCGAGAAAATAAAATATATGGCCGCCCGTGTATGAAATCAGAAATGAGAATCGGCTATTCACAACAGGAGGGCATCAAAAATATATCCAAACGATTTCTGCATTTGTGTGCCATCGTGAGCTTTTCCTTTCTTCTCAAGAAACACGAGTGGATTTTTGGTTTCAGGTGTAACGCGCCGGGACATTCGTGAGAAGCACATCCCAGCGCCTCGGATTTTACACAATTTACAACATGAACGATGCAATGTGAAGGTAAGAGCGGACACGCCTGTGGTTTTTGGTATCAAGGTCGCCGTAGAGAAGGCTGACATGGAACGAAAGCGATTTCACATTTGGGATTTGTTCACTTCTGATTGCCTTTTATTGCATTCTCATGTGCGCTGATGAAAATCCTTCAGCCATGATGATGATGAAGATGCTATATAAAGGGATTTATGTGTCTGTACATGAATATCAGACAAAAATTCATCAAGATTGCATGAATAACCTGAAGTGTGATGCGTGTGAATCTTATTTAAAATGCTAAATAATGATACTGTTGTGCTAATAACCTTTAGAAATGAACAATTTGATATCTACTGTATATCTGAACTGCATTGCCTTTATTTCTCCTTAAAGCAGGGACTTATGATTTTCCCTTATGTACACCAACCAAATGTTTTGAGATTCAAAGTAAAGGTTATTAGACAAGCAGAACTCTAGTTCAGCTCAGACGCAGTGCAAACTGCTTTTTCAAGCATAAGAAGTCTATTATAATGTAAAATGAGTTCCTACAGGGATGTATAAAAGTACTTTGGCACTATGGTAAAATTGCAAAAATGTTTCAAACATAACATGATGTTTGTCATGACGATGAAGGCAGGGTTGACATACAGTATAGATGTTTGTGACTAGTCTAAAGCTCCCGTTCTCTTGGTCTGGATGTGTTTGCTGACGGATGTTTTGAGAGGTAGCATGAAGACGTTTGATGATGCGCTCTTGTGTTTTCAGAAGTCATGTACACACTGGAGAGAGGAGCGTGTGAGGCGGTGATGGAGACGGTCCGTGTGTGTGAGGATCAGTTAGAGGTGTCGGAGTGAACGCTTCCGGGTCCTTCTGTGGGGGAGGTGACGGAGGACGGGGTGGTGGGGTCCTGCCAGCCGCCGTTCGCCTGACGGAGAGACAACACACACACACACACACACAATGAGTGAGCAATCAAGCACACATTGGGTCATACAAAAAGCATCACAATATAAGAAAAAAATGGCCTGTAAATCAATAATTTGTTGTCAAATTCAGAGTGAAATTCAGATATTCCACACATTGAGTGGAATATAATTCCTATAAAGTTGATTTATTTTGATTATTAAATAAATTTAATATAAAACCGACAGAAAAGCATTGTATTTGCCAATAATGCACAAAGAAAATACAACAGACTACATTTCAAAACACACACACACACACATTTAATTTTATTAATTTTTTTACATTTTATTTATTTATTATTATTTTTATATTTTTTGAAGAAAGGACACCTTTAGATTTCTTGAGCAGCAAATCAGCATATTATACTGATTTCTGAAGATCATGTGACACTGAAGACTGGAGGAATGATGCTGAAAATACAGCTTTGCTCACAGGAATAAATTACATTTTACAATCTATTACAATAGAAAACAATTATTTTAAATTGTAATAATATTTCACAATATTACTGTTTTTAATTAAATAAATGCAGCCTTGATGAGCAGAAGAGACTTCTTTCAAAAACATTTTAAAAACACCCCAAACTTCACAGGAACGAATTACATTTAGAAGTATATTCAAATAGATGACAGCTGATTTAAACTGTAATAACAGTGAAATATCATTACAATTTAAAATTACTTTTCTATTCGAATATATTATAAATGCAACATTCATCAATCTTTGATGAATTAAAATAGTTTTTAGTGTATTTTTGGTCAAATGAATACAGCTTTAGTGAACATAATGTAAGATTTGTCCTAAAATCAAACTAAAAAAAATGTAAATAATTTCTTTGTTAGTGTTTACAAAGTCAAAAAAATTTAGCCAATTAAATATTATCAGTGATTTGATTGACAGCGCAGGTTTCTGTCAGTCTGAAATGATTACATCCTCAGAAAACAGGAGTCGCGTGTAAGAGCTCTGTGTGTGATGCTTGACATTTATACTGACACACACACACACACAACACTGAGAGAATGACACGTGGAATAGAAACACAGAGACGCAGCAGAATGCATCACTAATCTCACAGACAGAAAGAGCAGCAAACGCTGGTCTGTTCCTCAATCAAACCCAATAAAAGAACAGAGGAAATGTCTTAAATGCTGCTGTTGAATGCAGGCTGAAAAACCATCAACAGACACAGTATCAAATCTCATCTCTGTAATTTGTGTGCCACTAATGCTTCCTCTCAATTTAATGTACAGCGGCCCCCAAAGTATCTCAACACTTCAATCACAATTCAAAATGCATGAATATTATTGCATTAGATAATAAAATATCAAAGCAGGTGTCTTTCATTTTAAGGACAGACACTGTACAAGCAAAGTGAGCTGTGCCACTTTGTGGTTGTGAGACGCTAGCGGAAAGCATTCATGTGGTGAACTTCTCTAATGCAGTGACATTCAGACATTAATAACAGTCACTTAAGTGTCCAAATACTTTTGGAGCAAATCTACAGTATATGCATTATAACACAAAATCTTGCAGCTTTGAAGGGATGAGCTACATTCAAAGTCTTAAATTAGCTGATATATATTTCTGTCATATATATATATATTTTTTTTTGGCATGGTAATGCACATGACAATGTTAATGTATTTGGTCTTGGCGGAATAGATCTGCTACGCTGCTGCTGCTGCGGCAGAGCAAGTACCGAGACTTGCTACTGCCAATACATCCACAACATGCTGCTGTGAGCATGTAAGAAATATTGCTGCTGCAAATATAACATACATGAAATAACCCCCATATAGCACACATTAATCACCTCGTAGCAGATCTATACAGGTGGAGCTGGGGAAGGTGGAGGGTTTCTGAAGCAAGCTGCAACTGCTACGGCAAGCACTAGTCATATATTTGAATGTTGAGCAGCGAGCTCATTGGCTATCGATACAGGAGAGAACCAATCAGCTGTGCCATGTGATAATGATGCCACTACGTCAGATTGAGTTAGACCTATCGGACTGCGCCATCCACAAACTCTGTATATGTACTCCTGTGAACAGTCATTTTATACTGATCAATAATTTGCTACAAAACTATGAATAATATTGAGGGATCACACACCTTCTGATCAATTTATTTCCGTGGATAAGGATTAATGTGGATAAAATACTATTAAATAATTTAATAGAGACTGCACTCACACAATCAATGTCTAACAGTTAAAACATTTTAGATTATGAATTTGCGTTAACTATGCAAATCATTTTAAGATTTAATTCATTTCAATGGCACTTATAATAATATCATATACTACCATTCAAAAGTTTAGGGTCAGTAAGATTTTTAAAAATATAAAAAATTCATTTATTTGATCAATCAATACAGTAAAAACAGTAATATTATTAAATATTATTACAAATACTATTAAAATAACTGTTTTCTATGTGAATTCTATAATGTAATTTATTTCTGTGATGCGCAGCTGTATTTTCAGCATCATTACTCCAGTCTTCAGTGTCACACGATCTTCAGAAATCAGTATAATATGCTGATCTGCTGCTCAAGAAACATTTCTGGTTATTATCAACTTTAAAAAGTTGCAGCTTAATATTTTTGTGGAAACAAAAAAAAAATTACATTAAAAATGTCTTTACTGTCACTTTGATGAATTAAATGCATTCTTGCTGAAAAAAAGAATTAATTACTTTAAAAAAATTACTGACCTCAATATTTTGAACAGTAGAGTTCATACAATAACACAAATACTAAATATTATATATTTATCTTTATTATATATTTGTAAACTTGACCATGGGACCTGTGTAGGCCTATGTTATGCAATATAAATGCTTTGTATTGTATTAAATGCGTTATTAAAATACTCGTGAATTGAGCGCCGTTCTGTGCGTCTGTCCATCAAAATCAAGCCCACAATTCTCCAGAAAATGCAGGATGGGATTTGCATACATCTGTGCTTTTCCCGCGAACGCGTTTGATCTCATTAACATACGGCCGGTGAAGCGCGGCAGAACGGCAGTGGGACGGAGACGCAGACCGGCCTCCCCCTCTACTCTCTCTCTCTTTCTCTTTCTCTTCTCGGCTCGCTGTCAAGGCCATTAGCTCGGCAGGAACCTGATCTGAGCAATGTGCTTGGATTGCTGTCCCAAGTCCACACTCCGCTCCCCGTGTGTCTGTCGTATTGATTTTCCCCTTTACCACACGGCTTGTCGCTGTGAATTTTCTCGGCGCGCCAAGTTGCCAGCAGCGCCCCTCCTTTCCCGAATGCGAGCAAAAACACACAGGATGTCCTCCTACGAGTGTTGTACCATAGGCGTGCGGCTGTATTTTTAGTGCCGAGTGTTTTTGTGCGCCACCCTTGGGGGGATAATCAGAGTCAGGTGACTTTGGGGCACGGCGAGGGGCCATACATTTGCAGCCGGTGTCACCTGTTCCCGTCAGCGGGGCGCGTGGCTGCAGGTGCCGGGCCGATCTGATTGGATGTGATGGGCTCAGACAGACGCGGGGCCGCTCTCGTGTCCACGTCTCGCTAGGCAGTGTGCCGCCCGTGGCTCTCGCAACACACAGGCAATCAACTAAGTGACCACGATTCCCAGACAAGTCACACTAAGTGGCATTCTGAGCCCTATGGCTTTGAAATAATTGGTAGAGGGCAAAACAAGAGGAAGGGGGAAAAAAATAAGTGTTTTTTTCTCGCCTTACATTGATGCCCTGCGGACTGTACATCTGGTTTGCTGCGAGGCCGTCACTGTATCCTCCTGTCTGGCTGATAACATGGCGAAGGGTATCCACCTGAAACACCGCAAAACAACACGGCAAGGTCAGACCGCGCGAGACGCGAACGCAAGGTCGCAAACAAAGCACAGTCAGACGACACGACAAAGAAGAAAGCAAGGTCAAAGAAAGCAAACAACAGTAAAAGACGACACAAAGACAGACGTACAAACACATGATGACATGTGAACAATAAAACACATTACAAAGCCTGTCTCTATGGCTCTGTTCTGAAGCCCAGTGAGCTGCCTACCAAGACAGCATTCTCCAAATTGCTGCCTTATAAGATACAATTTTGGCCAAAATCTACAGTAGAATTGTGGACTTCCGAAACGCATTAGAACAAAAATGATCCAAAATCGCAGACAAAACAAGAGAAATGTTGATTAAAAACATACATACACTACTGTTCAGAGGTTTGTGGCCAGTAAGACTTGGTCACCAACTTTTGTTCACCAAGGCTGCATTTATTTGATCAAAAATACAGTAAAAATTGTGAAATATTATTACAATTTCAAATAAATGTTTTATATGTGAATATATTGTAAACTGTAATGTATTTCTGTGATGTGCAGCTGTATTTTCAGCATCATTACTGCAGTCTTCAGTGTCACATGATCTTCAGAAATCAGTATAATATGCTGATCTGCTGCTCAAGAAACATTTCTGATTATTATCAATGTTGAAAACAGTTGTGCTGCCCAATATTTTTGTGGAAATCGTGCTACATTTTATTCTTCAGGATTCTTTGATGAATAAAAAGTATTTTTTCCAATAAATAAATAAATAAAATCTTACTGACCTCAAACTTTTGAACAGTATATGTCATGCAATACTGAAAAGTATTAATAGAAAGGTTCAGATATAATTTAAAATGATCAAATTGTAATATTTTACACAATTTATGTGTATGTTTATGCTTTTAATCATTAGCAGCTCTATTGAAGTCATTATTTGAGTTGCTGTCTATTAGTAGCGGACCAATATTGATTTTTGTGATTGCCAATGCCAAATCTTAGAGAGCAGGGTGGCCAATATAAAGTCTATGTATCATATCCCTATTTAATATAAAGATAGTAGAAGCACATGCATAACAAATGCGGAAATGAAATTGATATTTATACATTCATATGATAAAAAGTTGTACTTGACAAAAAAAAAAAAACATCTAAAATAAACATTTTATTTAGGTGTCAACTTCTTGATTCTGCGCTGTCAAAATAAAAGTCCTGCTTCCGACACATCGGCAAAAAATCTAATTATTGGCCGATATATCAGTTGACCACTACTGTCTATGTAGAGCTTTTCAAATCCTTTTCAAATTCAGTCAGCTTCCTATGTAGGCAGTAGACAGACAGGCAGTTCACAAGCTTTAGAAACTTTAGAATATCGTAAAGAAGAAAATCTTTTCCTACATCGAGATTTTACTTAAAACACACACACTAGAAATGTTTATCATGTTGCTACACCCCCACGACGAGAGCTGCAGTGTGTGTGCTGGTGCGCTAAGGGTTGTTTAGTGATTTATTGGCACTATACCTGTGACTGCACATTGGCTCCCACCTGAGAGCTCTGGTACGAGTCCCCATTCAGAGACTGAACACTCATAAACAAATCGCCAGAGTTTGACATGTTAAAAGAGCCAGCGGAACCTGAGAGGTGCACAGACACAACAGAGAGAGACAGAACAAGCCAGAGAAATGAGTTTGAAGAATTCAAGAGAGCAGAAATGCAGAGTTATAGTTAGATAAGCTTTTCAGAGCATAAGATCCAGCAGCCCATAAAGAAGACGAAGATCAAGAATCGATGCTAAGCAGGAGCGATCCAGCTAAAAGCAAACTCCGATATGTGCATATTTGGTTTGAGCTTATAAAAATGACAACAGAATTTATTTTTTCAGTTAAATGGCAATATTAATTTTAATCTGATGCGAAACATGTTTGTGAGAAAGACATGTAAAATCTTTGATTGATCTTGAGTCAACATTCACATTTGCATACGCTTTTATTTCTATAGTCTGATGTTTTCACGTCTTTTTGTGTGAAACAGAATTTTTAATTAGAAAAAATGTCTTCAGTTTTATAATCCATAACTTGTTAAAAATTCACACTACTGTTCAAAAGTTTGGGGTCAGTAAAATTACATTTTTTTCATATTCATATGAAATTCGAAATTCATATTTTTATTTGAAAAGTGATAGTAAAGACATTGATAATGTTACAAAAGATTTCTATTTCAAACAAATGCTGTTCTTTTGAACTTTCTATTCATCAAAGAATCTTGAAAAATAAAATGTATGATGGTTTCCACAGAAATATTCGGCAGCACAACTGCATTGATATTTGATTTTTCAGCATTTCTGAAAGATCATGTGACGCTGAAGACTGGAGTAATGATGCTGAAAATTCAGCTGCGCATCGCAGAAATAAATTACATTTTACAATAAATTCACATAGATAAAAAAACACTTTTAAATATTTAAAATAGTAACAATATTTCACAATATTACAGTTTTTTTAATCAAATAAATGCAGCCTTGGTGAGCAGAAGAGACTTTTTTCAAAAACATAAATATCTTACCGACCCCAAACTCTTGAACTGTAGTGTATGTTTAATATTTTGTCAGCTGAAGGACTGACATCCATCAGTATGATATATTGTCTTTCCCTCAGTCTTGTTTTCATTTGTGCAGAAATAACTCACTGAAGTCTATGGTCATAAGTTCTCATGGCTTTAACGGCGCACAAAACAGTGTGTTTTACCTAGACGAGTCCTCCGAGTTGAGACAGGAGCAGAACATGCTGTGACCCACAGAGCCCTCGTCCCGTTTCAGGTGAAAACATTTTCAATCGTTTTTCAGAGACTAGCTTTCAGCTCCACATACAGTAAAGTCTTCTCATTTACTAACAAAAGACATTTCCCACAGTGTGACATCAGCTCTCCAGCTGCATGGCTGTATGAAGTCCTGCCCCTCATCGGGCATCATGGGAATGAGTGGAGAGTTTATATCGCCTCACCTGCTGAGTTTGGAGTGGACGGGGAATTGGTCTGGCTGCCATGTGCCGACACACTCGCCGCGCTCACAGCCGTTCTGGCCGCGTAGATGTTGGCTTCTTCCTGGAATTTTCCGATGTTCTTCTTATATCGGATCCGTTTGTTTCCGAACCAGTTGGAAACCTGCCCACAAAAACATTGTTAAGACATGTGTTTTCCAATACTGTGTCCTCTTGAACAAACCCATGCGAACAAACCATGACGGACAACGAAAAATAAACAGGTTCTTAGATGCAACTTGACACACTGGTCACACATTACATCATGCAAAAATCATGTGTAGTACGCAAATATGTACAGTATATCATTCAAACATTTGGGGTCAGTAAGATTTTTGAAAGAAGTCTCTTCTGCTCACCAAGGCTGCATTTATTTGATAAAAATACAGTAACAATTGTGAAATATTATTACAATTTAAAATAACTGTTTTCTATGTGAATATCTGTTAAACTGTAATTTATTTCTGTGATGCGCAGCTGTATTTTCAGCATCATTACTCCAGTCTTCAGTGTCACATGATCTTCAGAAATCACTCTAATATGCTGATTTGCTGCTCAACAAACATTTCTGATTATTATCAATGTTGAAAACAGTTGAGCTGCTTCATATTTTTGTGGGAACGTTAATGATTTTTCAGGATTCTTTGATGAATGGAAAGTTCAAAAGAACAGCATTTATTTGAAATTAAATCTTTTGTAACATTATAAATACCTTTACTGTCACTTTGGATCAATTTAACATGTCCTTGGTGAATAAAAGTAATCATTTCTTTTAAAAACATCATACTGACCCCAAACTTTGAACAGTAGTGTATATTGTACACACGATGCATTGAATATTATAGTTCAATGCACTCACAATTTTTAATTCTTTAATCTTTTCTCCTTCTTGATTCATTATTTAATCTAAGTGTTAAAAGTTCAGATATTTTCTTGACAAAAAATACAAACAAAGCGTTAAATAACCAAAACGAAAACTCCCTACAACATAGTGAGATCATGTTAAATTTCCATGTGAAAATTTTAAGTAGAAAGACTGAAATAGTATTTTCCATCCGTCAACAAATCTTTTTTTATAAAAATAATAATAAAAAACTCTTTACAGCAACGTGACTGTAAAAATCTCAGTTCTAAAAAAACAATTATTGGAGTACTGAAAATACAATTTCAGTCTTTCTACTTGAAAACTTCACATTTATTAATGAATGTGTTACTTGCCGTTTGCATGGGGTTTTTGAGTGAAACTTTTGTGCAGTGTAGAACAATGAAATACATTACATAGCCTTTGCTAAAAAAGTCTGAACTACTGCTAAAAGATTCCAAAAGAGTAAAAACTCAATACTTGCAATTCATTTGCTGCATATCCAAAAAATGATTACATGCCAAGATACTAGCAATCTTTGTGCAAAAATAAAATGCTCAGTGCATTTTGGACTGAAAAAGTGCTCAAGAGCCTCAATTTTTGATTTTCAGTTTTATTCTGATAGCATATTCTGATCACAGCACATATGACCAGTTGAAGCAAAATGCAACAGTGGCTGGCAGACTTCACGACAGTGAAGGATGCTATCGACAATACTTGTGATGGCCACAAGGACAGAGGTCTAACCATGATGGACACACACACACACACTAACATTAAAATAAATGATCACTTACACGCTGCCAGCTATGATCACAGTATACACTGACAGCAATCACTCAACACACACTAACGCCCATTACGGCTAATACAGCAGCGGATGAGGCTCTGCACTAATGATAAACACCATTACCATGAAAAGCTAATCAATCCTGCGGCTAAGCTTCCCGTTCCCGCGAGAGGCTAAAGGTGTTTCTATATAACAAACGGCGCGGCAGTCATCACTCATCCCGCGAGTCTGACTCAAAACCAGGCCTAAATGCATCATACAATCATTTCAGCTAAATTTATTAAATAGTTTAGAATGCATTATGCATTTAGCGCAGCAGATGAAAAATGCTAAGAGGCATGTGTTGCCATGCTGCAAATGATTTTGTTTTCGAGTTGCATGAGGCTGAACTCACGTGAGTATTACTGATATATTTTACATGCAAAACAGGTAGAAACAAACATCGGATGTGTCTCAATATCAGGCCAACTCCCTACCTGGACAGCATTTTTGGAAAGCGTGCAATTGTAACTCTATGGTATTTTTTTGAAAATGCATGGTATATAAATATGCTAAACATGCCATACTGAATATTAAAGAACCATTCCTATCCCTGAACTGTGAGAGAGCAGATTTGTGGGTACTATATTTCGGGTGGTGGTAATGAGCGGATGGTTTTCAGTGTTGTACCTGCGACATGGTGATCGAACACTTCTTGGCCAGCTCTTCTTTGGCCTCCTCGCTGGGATACGGGTTACTGAGATGAGAGTAGAAATATTCGTTCAGGATCTCTGTGGCCTGTTTGTTGAAGTTTCGTCTTTTCCTCCTGTGCAGACAGAGAGAGAGCAACACAAAACAAATCAGATTTGGACATCTTGCCAGAACTTGTGCTGTTGCATATACTTCATGTTTCATATCAAATATTTTGGTAAATATAGAGTAAGTAACTGCAACTGGCCATGTACACTTAGGTGACGCATTACTTTAAGAGACACAGACCACACGTTTTTGTTGTTGTGGAATTTAATGAGAGATTATTTATTCTTAGATAAACTAGTAAAATTGAAAAAACTGGATAAAACATAAAATCCTGCTTGAAAAGCAGGTCAAAGCTACCATGAAATGTGAGAATTTTCAATGTTAGATAAACTAGTAAAATTGAAAAGTTGAATAAATCATAAAACCTAGCATGAAAAGTAAAAGATATAAAAGGTAAAAGCTACTATTCAACCCTGTTACCAAAGATACTGTTAGAAAAATGATCAAACAAATATTTGTTCTTTAATTTATTGGAAATAAACAATAATTTGATCAATAATGATATATCAACTAACTAGCTCTCTACTGATTTAAACTGAATATGCAACTGTTACCTATTTAGTTCATTTAATTTCATTCAATTTCATTTTTCTATTTTTAATCAAATTCAATTTACTTCTACTTTAATTTTACTTTATACTGAGTAACAGATTGATTTAAACGGAATATGCAACCCTGCTATCTATTTATTTCAATTTATTTGATATAATTTTTATGGTATTTTATTTCAAATTCATTTTGTTTTCTATTCATTTACTTTTACGTTAATGTTACTTTATACTGAGTGATAGATTGATTTAAACTGAATATGCAACACGGTTACCTGTTTATTTCAATCTGTATAATAATATTTTATTATTTCATTTATTATTTTATTTTATTGCATTATATTATTGTAATTAATTTAATTTAATTGTCTTTATTTTGAAGTTTAAACTACATATTAATCCCAATCTAAATTTGTAACATGAAATACATAAAATACATGTAAATTAAAGCAGCACAAGCAACTATTTCCATAGATTAATGCCATATTTTGCAGCCTATTTCGTGTAAGTGTGCAAAGACAAATCTAGCAGGCAGATGCTTCAATGCTTGAAAGGAAGAATAAAGCAGACCCCACACATACTCAAAGAGAAGAGCTTTAAAACGAGCGTAAATTGAGCTTTGGGTGCCAATGAATTCAACCTCCTCTCGGCATCACTCATCTGTGGGTTAAGAGTGTGCGATTGGAGCTCATCTCAGGGGCTTTTACATATGCAGCACTGAAGGGCCGGAACAGAGGGTGAGCCGATTTCCTCCCCAAAACCCCTCTTCACTAAATGCAAATGAGCACAGCATGGTCTCAGCCGGAGAGAGGATTAATCAGAGGAACTGAGCATGCTCCAAAGAGACTGAGAATGGATTCTGAGTGCTGCGAGGAGACACGAAGCTCATTTAAATGTTATGCCTCCGACTCCAGGCTTCCAGTGTGATTTATCCGCACAGAAATGTATGCAAATCCCAGGCACGTTTCAAAGAGAACAAGCGATTACACTGAGAAAGGGATGGACTCAACATAGCAAAGCGTGTGTGGGTTTGGATGCGGCCCTAAAGGGAAACAGGAAAACACACGTGTGCAAATAAAGCGCAGGAGCGTTTGTTGACACGGATGTGATAGTTAGAAGCTTAGCGCTGAGCGTGATCTGCTCCGGGGAAAAGAATGAGAGCACAGGGTTTGATTACGAGTGGATTTGCACTCAAATGCATGAAACAAATGCAACATGCACGGACCTGGCGTCGAGGAAGCGGGAGCGCAGGATCATGACGGCCTCGCAGGTGCTCTGCTTGAGCTGCATCTGGATGGAGCTGAACTTGCGGTGGATGATGTTGACCATGCGCTCGATCTCTTTGGGCGAGATGGGCCGCGTGCGAGACTGCTCTCTCAGCAGGTTCATCACATGGGTCGTGAACTCGTTACACGCCTGGAAAGAGGGAAACACAGACACATGCATGTTACCATAACAAGATACGGCTTACAGAAACAGGTTCAAGAGCTCATTTCATGGAAAACAGGGTTCAGTCAGGACTTTTAGCTACTTCACAACTGTGAGCTCATTAACATATGGCCACCCACCTTTGCATATCAACAGTTCAGTTCAGTTTTAAGTAACTTTTTGTCACTAGCCAATTAGCCAATCATAACAGAGCTCATTTACATACAGAAACAACAACAGCCTGTTTAATTCTAATGGTCAAAGCAGAACAAAGTTTTAAAAACAGAATCCTAGACTAACTTAAGCTTATTATTTTAAAGAGTTCAAACTTTCTATGCCTGATTACAAAAGTACTAAACAGTTATCCACCTTTTCTACATATGATTCAAAAAGTCTGAGTAGAAATTAATAGTTTTATTCAGCAAGCGTGCATTAAATTGATCAAAAGTGACAGTAAAGACATTTATAATGTTAGAGAAGATTTCTATTTCAAATAAATGCTGTTCTTTTTAACTTTCGATTCACCAAAGAATCCTGAGAAATAAAATGTATCACAGTTTTTACTAAAACATTAAGCAGCACAACTGTTTTCAACATTGATGATAATCAGAAATGTTTCTTGAGCAGCAAATCAGCATATTATTATGATTTCTGAAGATCATGTGACACTGAAGACTGGAGGAATGATGCTGAAAATACAGCTTTGATCACAGAAATAAATTACATTTTAATATATATGTCAATAGTAAACAGTTATTTTAAATTGTAATAATATTTCACAATTTTGCTGTTTTTGTCTGTATTTTTGATCAAATAAAATTGGAGAAAATAAAAACATTAAAAATCATACTGATCCAAAAGTAGTGTACACCAAATGTTTCCATGCTACTTAAAATTATACACTGGAGCTTCATTGTGAACACTACTAACAATCATAATATAAAATATCACCCATAAAAAAATCTCTCAAAAACAGCAAAAATAATTTAGCGCTATTCCGGGTCCACATATGAATTCTGAATGAACAGTATGCTGGTGAACGTATGACAGTGTGGATGCTGTCTATGTATTGTAATGCAGTAATATCTATAAAAACTCATCCATCTCTTGAGCCCTCATTCCTCCATAGAGTTCATTAATCACGCATAAAAATGAGGGTGACGGAGTCGTTACACTTTCAATATTGTGCCTTAATTCTGAAATGGCCTCATTGGCAAGAGATTGTCATTACTCACGGAGCGACACAAACAGATGAGTAAGAGAGCAGAGAGCGTCAGGAGAACCAGGACTCATGGGAAGACCACAACAACAGTTACAGAGCGGATGATGAAGGGTGTTTTCGCTCTTGTGCCGGGTGGTCCGTCTGTGTGTGTGTGTGTGTGTGTTTGCGGTCCTCTATGACAGCTATGAATGTCCTTTGTGAACAAACAAACAGAGGACACCTGGCCCTGTCCCAGAATGCATTTCAGTACATCACCTCTCCTCTGTCCGTACGGTTTATCATCAGCGATGGATCTACTGTCTGACCGCACTGAGAGCCAGTATGGCAGGCACTGATACTCGCACTTAAACATGAATGATGCTCATCACGATGCTGATGTCCAGTCAAGTCCTGAGTATTTAAGAACCTACAGCAGCCTGATCTCAGCACCAGTCATTTACATACAAACCACATTCACACACGCTTGAAATACAGAATTTCCTTCTGAATTTTAATCATTTAAAAAAAGATTCCAAACAGTAAGCCCTTGGACTACCGTATTTTCCAATTATAAGTCATGTTTTTTAATCATTTAAAAACATGCTCTGACTTACATTCCAAAGTGACTTATATAATGCAATCAATTAGTTAAATAATGCATTTCCGTATGATATTTTCAACAACAACAAAAAAAGATTTCAAACCGAAATATTTAAATCAAGCCCTTGGATTACCATATTTTCAGAATCACTTTTTTAATCATTTAAAAACATGCTGCAACTCATATTCCAAATCGACTTATATAATGCAATTAATTAAGTAATACATTTCCTTCAAGAATTCCCTTAAGATTTTTAATAATTAAAAAAACAAACAAACAAATAAAAAGTTTAATTTCAAGCCACTGAGTACCAGATTTCCCAAAATAGAAGTCGTGGTAAGTTTTTTTTTAATCACCTGAAACGTGCTGCAACTTATGCACATTTGTATTCATGCCGAATGAGAGAAGTATGTGAGCACATTTTTATTTGTAAAGCGCATTTAAAGCAGTAGTTCACTTCCAGAATAAAAATGTCCTGATAATTTACTCGCCCCCATGTCATCCAAGATCTTCATGTCTTTCTGTCTTCAGTCGCAGAGAAATGAAGGTTTTTGAGGAAAGCATTCCAGGATTTTTCTCCATATAATGGACTTCAATGGGAACCAACGGGCTGAAGGTCAAATTGCAGTTTCAGTGCAGCTTCAAAGAGCTCTACACGAACCCAGCCGAGGAATAAGGCTCTTATCTAGAGAAACCATCAGTCATTTTCTTTAAAAAAATGCTGAGCCACACACACACACTACATTAAAGTAATGCTGTCTATGTATTGTAATGCAGTAATATCTATAAAAACTCATCCATCTCTTGAGCCCTCATTCCTCCATAAAGTTCATTAATCACGCATAAAAATGAGGGTGACGGAGTCGTTACACTTTCAATATTGTGCCTTAATTCTGAAATGGCCTCATTGGCAAGAGATTGTCATTACTCACGGAGCGACACAAACAGATGAGTAAGAGAGCAGAGAGCGTCAGGAGAACCAGGACTCATGGGAAGACCACAACAACAGTTACAGAGCGGATGATGAAGGGTGTTTTCGCTCTTGTGCCGGGTGGTCCGTCTGTGTGTGTGTGTGTGTGTGTGTTTGCGGTCCTCTATGACAGCTATGAATGTCCTTTGTGAACAAACAAACAGAGGACACCTGGCCCTGTCCCAGAATGCATTTCAGTACATCACCTCTCCTCTGTCCGTACGGTTTATCATCAGCGATGGATCTACTGTCTGACCGCACTGAGAGCCAGTATGGCAGGCACTGATACTCGCACTTAAACATGAATGATGCTCATCACGATGCTGATGTCCAGTCAAGTCCTGAGTATTTAAGAACCTACAGCAGCCTGATCTCAGCACCAGTCATTTACATACAAACCACATTCACACACGCTTGAAATACAGAATTTCCTTCTGAATTTTAATCATTTAAAAAAAGATTCCAAACAGTAAGCCCTTGGACTACCGTATTTTCCAATTATAAGTCATGTTTTTTAATCATTTAAAAACATGCTCTGACTTACATTCCAAAGTGACTTATATAATGCAATCAATTAGTTAAATAATGCATTTCCGTATGATATTTTCAACAACAACAAAAAAAGATTTCAAACCGAAATATTTAAATCAAGCCCTTGGATTACCATATTTTCAGAATCACTTTTTTAATCATTTAAAAACATGCTGCAACTCATATTCCAAATCGACTTATATAATGCAATTAATTAAGTAATACATTTCCTTCAAGAATTCCCTTAAGATTTTTAATAATTAAAAAAACAAACAAACAAATAAAAAGTTTAATTTCAAGCCACTGAGTACCAGATTTCCCAAAATAGAAGTCGTGGTAAGTTTTTTTTTAATCACCTGAAACGTGCTGCAACTTATGCACATTTGTATTCATGCCGAATGAGAGAAGTATGTGAGCACATTTTTATTTGTAAAGCGCATTTAAAGCAGTAGTTCACTTCCAGAATAAAAATGTCCTGATAATTTACTCGCCCCCATGTCATCCAAGATCTTCATGTCTTTCTGTCTTCAGTCGCAGAGAAATGAAGGTTTTTGAGGAAAGCATTCCAGGATTTTTCTCCATATAATGGACTTCAATGGGAACCAACGGGCTGAAGGTCAAATTGCAGTTTCAGTGCAGCTTCAAAGAGCTCTACACGAACCCAGCCGAGGAATAAGGCTCTTATCTAGAGAAACCATCAGTCATTTTCTTTAAAAAAATGCTGAGCCACACACACACACTACATTAAAGTATAACAACGGCAGTCAAACAGATGTTGCACTAATCTAAATTATGAGATATTACAGTCAACATGAAATCAAAATTGAAGTGTTGACTTAAGCAAACGTTGCTGGTGTTACTTCAAACGATTCTTCAATGCATGTTATTCCAAATAAAATAAAAATGATTTCCATCAGTCAAAAAATCTGTCTGGTTTTGAGTATGTCAAAGTTTTAAGATGCTTAATATAATAGTGAAATCCTCACAAATTCAGATTAATAGCATAGTTGTTCAAGCAAAAGAAAATGTAAAATTGATCAATTTATGATTCAGATTTAATTTAGATTGTAAATAGCAGGGTTATTATAGTTAACTAAAACTAAAATTAAAACCATTCAAAAATGTTGCTTACTTGAAAGAAAATAAATGCTAATTGAAATCTAAAAAAAATAATAAAAATAATTTTTTCTAATTTTAATTTAGTTTAACTTGATCTCCTAAAATAACTAAAAATAAAACAAAATAAAAACCATATAGACAAATAAAAAAACTATTAAAAATGAAAAAAAATAATAATAAATTACTCAAACTTTAATTTAAATTAAAAAGAAAACAGAAAATATAAAAATAAAAATTATTCAAAATATTATTAAACATTATTATATTATCTCAAGGATACTAAATAGTTAAAAGCAGAAGATAATAGTGTCATTATTCAGTTCGATTGTTTAAATTCAGTTCAATATTATTATAAATAATGATATTTATATAACTATCTTATATAATATCTATATACTATAATATTATAAGAATATATGATATAAAATAAAATTCAAAATTATTAATAGCATAGTTATTCAAGCATAGTTTACACTAATATTATTAGTACTTTAAGCAGCATCCCCTGTAAAAGTGCTAGAAGCTTTCAGAATCTGTCTGTCAATATCTTTCTTTCGCATTTTTGCTTATATAAACTTATCGCCATGTTCAGTATGGTAAACTGGCTGCCAAATATTGGCCGCTGCACATATTCTGCAGGTTTTCTGACCTGTTCGTACTTCTCCAGCTCGGTGTGGTAGATCTGGCGGATCTGGGTGAGTTTGGCTCTGTAATCGGAGTGTTCGGTGGAGTTATCGGCTCCGACTCCAGCCGATGCCGCCGCCGCCGCCGCAGCCGCCGCAGACCCGCCCCCTTTCTCCGGCCCGGACACGCCCTCCGCCAGCAGCATGTTGTCCAATCGCATCAGCTGGGCATCGGGAGACTCCTCCTCCTGGGCGCCACGGATACTCAACACTGGAACGAAACAAGCACGGAAAGGTTATTCAAACAGCTCGATATCCCAGGATGCACCGTGTGACGGCAGAGGCTTTGAATATACTGAGTCTGGCACGACGGGTCCGGCCTCATCGATCCACAGAGAATCAGCTCTTTCTGATGAATTGTCTTTGAGGCCGAAACAAAAAAACATTTAAGGCTGCAGTTGACTTTGCCAAGTTTTATGATGATATAATAAAACTTCATCTAATTCATATCATGAGCTTCCCACTCAGCGCTGATGCTCTGTGGCTGTAAATCTCAGCATCCCTGTGCTCTCCGGCTCTGACACTAGAGGGCCTGAGTGCTTTGATTTTACATCAGACTCACTCACTCACACACACACACACACACACATACACACGCTGGACCACATACACACACACACACACACACACACACACACACACACATG